CACCTCCCCCCAAAAGTGAATGTTGCCAAGCCCTCCCAGTGGCCATTTTTCAAATGACATCCCTCACCTTCCTGGGGCTCTTCTGACTAATTTTCAATCCCATTTTTGTCTGCTTTGCCCCCAGATGATCCTGGGCCGTACTGACACCATCCCACCATTTCTTGGCCCAAACAGACCCCTCTTTTCGAAACAATCTCTGGGGGTACTTTTTGTGCGCTTCGGCCTGGCGGAGAATTTTCCTTGAATTGGGACACTGCACCCTTGAGGTCCAGATCTTCGGGAGGTCAAAGTTCAGGGCCTCTGTCAGGATGTGTTGAGCCGTCCGTTCTGGTGCACCATACTGACAGGCAGCTGTTTCGTAGGCCCAACTGGCAGGTGCATGGCTGAGTTGATAACGACCCACACCAGTCCAAATCCGATTTAGCGATACCTACTCCCTGCGGGAAGGTTCGAGCCCGGGGGAGTTGTCTTGGGTGGCATTGTGAATTGTGCTGGATGTGTAGTTTCCTCCCAGCTTTCTTCCCGGGTCTGCAGGAGGTTGAAGTCCTAGTCTCTCAGCTTTGCTGCATGGTGGGAGAAAGGTCTCCTGGACTTCAAGCATTGAGGGGTATTTACCCTGGGCACCCTCAACAATGCTGTTGAGGAGGTGGCTGGAGTCACTGGCTGCCTTGATAACCAGAAAGCGTGTTCTTCTCTTCGCAGGTGTGCTGAGGCAATGCCTAACAGCACTGGGAGGCATTTTGTTGGTATGGGACAAAGAGAGCCTTCTAGCTCACAAAAAGGGAAAGCTACATCGCTTCCAAAAAATCATTCCTTTATAACAGAAGTTTCAAATTCATTCAGCTAGCTGTGAAAGAAATGCTTTATTACAAATGTTACGAAGGCCGTTGAACGTCCTACCAAAGCTACTTCCTGTCTATCTAGACTGTGGTTTGTACAACTCCTTTTAATTTTTTGTTTTAAGAATGACGAAAAGGTGTCATGATAATTGACTTTGGGCACAGACAGCATCGTCTCTGTCTCTTCATTAAGTTTGCCAAAGAGTACACGTATATTACAAACTCTATCACTGACTTCCAACATTATTTTACCAACACTGAAAATCCAATTTTCAATGCTTCCTTCGCCCTCGCAATATAACTTTATTTTCGGTTAGAAGCTAAACAGTCAGAAAATGAAAGCTTCCCAACATTTTAATTAAAGACATGAATATGCATAAAATGTTACGCCGCACACTTTTAGCTCATGCAGCGTGTCCAACATGACACATTTTTTTCTATTAATAACATGCGCGCTCTTTCAAATTCGCAGCAATAAGCTATAAATGTCTTCTTTTGCAGCAGTTGCAAAAGTGTTAAGTTGTGGGAACGTACGCATCCATTCATTCTCTACAAACCATCCCTTCACAATTGTCTTAGACAAACACATAAGAAACAAGCACTTGTACTTCGAATGAAAAACTTTACAAATAAGTACGTCTTACATGTTTGCTCTTGATATCTGCAAATATGAACAAGACAGGTCGTGGAAATCCCACAAACTGTTTTTATGTGATGTTACTTGTCCCTACCAGACCTGTCATTGCTTTCTGTTATACAGCAAAATTAAAATATTCAACAGCCCTGCGAAACTTCCCACCTCTTGTAGCATTCGTCGCTGTTTCGATCCCATGGTGTATAAGCTGATTAAACTTCGTCCAAGCGCACTATGGTTGCATATTGTTAAAATTCAATATTCTAGCCCTACTATGCAATTTGTGCAGCTATTACATTTATCAGGCAATTATTATTACTTTGTATTTTACAAAAATTAAACAAGTCGTAAAACGTTTGATTCACTCAAGAATATCATTGCACAAACCAGATAGCATTCACAAAAATCTTGAACCTCCCCTCTGCTTGACTTCATTCTCAAAATTACAGCACCGTAAGACTACCAGCTTTATACCATCAGAAAATCTTTTTTGCCCTGTGTTGTTTCCTTTAAAACATCAGTTAAATTAGAATAAAGCCCACAGCGACTGCTTTTGTAAAATACATGCACTGAATTTGTAATTGGCAAAATCTTTTCTTAAATATGAATTCAACATGTGCGAATTTCCATGTCACGTTCAGTGCTTAACGCTTCGTGAATTCTTCCTTTGTGATTCCAGATCCACTGAGTTGCATGATCGACAGCAGTAAGTCCCGAAAATAATTTACTGTAGTTGTCACTTTATCAACCATTAAGCTCAGGAGACAATTTGCAGATAAATTAATAAAACGGAACTGATCGCGTCGGAATTGTGTCGAGTTACCATTTCTGATGGTGTGCTGCAGATATATTTTCCGATTGAGTAGTATGTTGTGACATTTCTGTACATTAGTGTCCATTAAAAGTGATATTCCATTCGACAGTGTCTTTGCAAATTTTTCTGTTTTTCAGAAACATTGTTAATATGTCTCTTGTTTCCCAATGCATTTTTGATAGCGCTGACGGCATTTGTTTGAAGGGGGGTATTCTGTGAAAATTTATCGATAGCTTACCAAAGCCTTCTATTCAAATCTATTGAGAAAAAAGTGGATTACTGAAAAAAAGTAAGACGTTTCACAGTGTGTAGACTTGAACACAACACAACTTGAGTAAAGTGAGAGGATCAATCAATCAAGTGTTTGAGAGCAGTGCTTGTATACATACATGCTCCTCTGAGTCCTGATTTTCAATTTTCGGTTCCTTCTTGATTTTTCCGCTAGTGCCAAAATTGCATTTGTTGTGATATCATGCAAGGGAAAACCTGAAGTATTTTTGAACTAAAACTTGCTGAAATCGCAGATGTTTTCTTGTTTACGTTTTCATTCATTGTCGTTATAGTTCATGAGAGTAGGACAATAGCAAGTTTCCTACAAATATTTTCAATGAGCAAGTTTTGTATTTGCCAACAACGCCATCATTTTTCAGGAGACGTATGGAAAATATCCAAATATTTAAAAAGGTGCGTTTTCAATTAGAATAACCAAAGAGAGATGTCAAATAGTCTTTTTTTTCTTTTTTCGGTCTTTTTTGGAGTACAGAGTTGCTGGTCTAATCATTACAGCTTAATGGTTGTTAAAGATGCAACTGCATTTTAAAATGTAAACCTTTTGGATGATTTTGGAGATCTGTTATGAATTTACATTACGCTGGTGCACAATCGAAATAAAAAGGCTCATTTTCAGCAGTTTATTTTGAAAACAGAACGTGGAAAGACTTTCATTGGTGAATTCACCCATGATACACAGTGCCATTACACGAGCTCCACGTCAAAGTTAGATTTGGATGCTGTATGGTCAAACTTTTTTTTTCCATTTGTAAGTCTTTTCCTTTCATGCTATGATACATGAGCTGGATCATCCGCTGTAGTCTCATCAGCCTTGCGCTCTGAAATCTGCTGGAATCTCCTCTACAAATAAAATAAACAAAACTCACAAATGTTAGTGATTGTGAAAGGGAATGATTTTCATCATTTTATCAGTGTAAAAATGATACTACTTTTCTCAGGACACCGAGGTAGATTACATGTATATCCAAACAAAAACATCTAACTCTTCCTGTACTTACTGTTGCATTTATAAGACAACCTTGCCCAAATAATGCTTTCCTGTGAGAAGCAAAACAGACCAAGGCGCCCTCCCCGCAGTGTGGTATCAATCAGATAACCCGAATCTGCTACTAAGGCATCTCCTTCATACAGACGCACCCTGGCAAGAAATACATTTTTATCATCAGTGACAGCACAACTCTAGAAAGTTGCCGTAGAGTCATTTCGCTCAGACGCACTCTAATAATTAGCCAATCGATTTATTTCAGCTACATGTACATGAGAATCTCATTGTTAAATGGCTTAATCAGCTCAACTGGAGGACATTAGGATGAAGTAATTATTCATGGATTGCCTCAAAGTCTGACAGCAAGTCTTGATCACCGCAGTAACGACGGGCTACGTCTAGTTTGTATAACTTCTCTTTAGCATTAAAGAAATGAATAACTCGTCTCTAAGCAGCTAACCTTATGAGACCGATAGAGGGTCTGTGCTGCACAAACCAACGATAGGCCTGGTTGTCTTTCCAACCGTCCTTCAGAGGATCCTGCCAAAGGAGTGTTACCTATAAAACATAAAAGGCAGATCACAGTATAAAGACTGCACGATTCCAGCTTCTGCGCAATGAACGGGAAAGGTAAGACTAGTACGATAATAATGAACATCTGCCAATATGATGGCAGATTTACATAAATGCATCTCCTGATGTACCTGGTTGGTCGTGTTCCCTGTATGCCACAGTGCATTTCGCATCATCTCACCTGGTCCAGTTTCAGACTTGACCACCTGAAAATAAATTTCGTTTACTCAGCATTAATTGGCCAAAACGCTTTGTGGAACACCGATGAACTCATGAAATTATGAATCGTTTTTACAACTCGGATGTGGCCCCTTCCTGTTGTTGGTTTAAAAACGTTAAAAAACTTCGTATTTTTCTCATCAGAATAAAGTAAGGGAAGATTTCTCGCATTTTTGTTTTAACATTACAATTAATTAACTGAACATCACATTGTTGATATAAAATAAAATCAACATTCAAATAAAAAGTGAAAAGGGAAAAAGACAAGAAATAAGAATAAGACAAACTAAACCTTAAGTTGAAATCCTGGCTCTGCAACGGCTCTGAATGGTGTGGCTTCCCAATATGTCTGCAAACCTTGCTTCCACATCAAAGTGTAGAAACTTGCCGAATCTTGGTAGCCAAACACAAAGCCCGCATAATCATCATCTGTATTGGTGTTGACAAAGAAGGTTCCCTCGAAGTCCACACCATCAAATGCCTGGTAGGAAACTGCAAGGCCTGGGTCGCTGTTAATAGTCTGCATTATTTGCTTACCCTGTGAAAAGAAAACATAGTGGAGGATCTACTTTTAACGAAACGGGGTAAAATCAAGGTAAAGTTCTCGAAGAGCTGAGAACTCACCTTTGCACAGAATTTGAACAGTCAATTAATAGCAGAAAAACTTCAGATAAAAGAAAATGCATGTCCCCTCCTGAAAAATAAAACGCAATATAAAGAGCGTGGTATATGCATCCCTCTTCCACTGTTGTGTTGAAATAGTGCAGGGGTCCAGAGAATAAAGTCACGTAGAGTAAAATCACGAGAGGGTCCATCTTCTCTGATCAATTCATCATGAAAATTCTAAAATACATATATTGGCCAACAGAAATCTGATTAAAGAAATCAGAAAATATTAGATATTATTTCCAAAATGTGACAAAGGGTACACACTTGTGTCCGGCACTTTTCATGAACAGCCGGATGTATCACAACTTCAGATACTAATAGGCCTATAACCTTGTCTTTATACACAGATGTTCTTTTTCATGCTAGTTACACTGGTTGTCCTTACCTCATCAAACACAACCCACTTGGGATCGACTTGCGAGTCACCCTCAGGGTCAAGTACAATGGTTTGGAAGGATCTAAAGTCAGTACGTTGTATGGCCGAGTCCTCTGGGCAGGAGTCTTCATCATCAGGGACGCCATCAGTGTCAAAGTCAGTGTCACATACATCGCCTACGCCGTCCCCTGGAACAGCACATATATTATATCATTAAACACTTGATTAATTGCCACCATCCAGAGTACATTTAAAGTAAGCAAACTATTTTGAAATCTCATGCAATGGACGCAATTTTGTTTGGTATCTACCATTGGAATCTGCTTGATCTGGGTTGAATACAAGACGACAGTTATCTGTAACATCTGGAACACGGTCGTTGTCATCATCTTCATCGCACGCATCCCCTGACAATCAATTAAGGAAGAATGCAAATGTTTAACCCTTAGAACAAGACTAATCGCGACCACAAATTTCATACAAAAATCATGCAACCAGTTTGGTTACCCAGGCCATCTCGATCAGTGTCAAGCTGTGGGTTGTTGGCTACGTATGGGCAGTTATCTTCATTGTCTTGTATGCCATCACCGTCCCTGTAAACAAACCACGTGTAACCAAGTACTAAGTAGGGATAATAAATAGTTTAAGTAGATGGTGCATAGAAGGGCAACACCAGATATTAAAAAACAGAGTCACACATAAGCTGATGAATTAATATGGGTGAAAACATAATCCCATTAATATATCAATTAATCAAATAAATCAGCTGCTGGCAGTATGCTTAGGCCCTTGGCAAGCCACTTCGCCCGGGGCCCCAACTTGCCTCTCTCCACCCAGGAGTATAAATGGGTACAAGCATTAGCGGGGGAAGCAACCTGCGATGAACTGGCATCCCAACCAGTGTGAATGGATATATTCTCACTTGTTTCATGCCAAGGAAACTGGAGATAAACACCGGTCTGATAAGCCAAATTGGCACGGACCAGACTTGCGTGCTATATTGTTTCTTGCTGATTTTTCCTTTACTTTTCTGTCTTTGTCGAGGCATCCATTTCATGAATCGTATATCAAACATTATCTTTAGGAGGCCTATGTAAATTCTTTACCAAGTTCAAATGAAACAGTTTACTGAAGCAAATTCAAGAAAAAAGAATATACGATGTAGCCCCATTTAATTCTGTTTATTGTCGAGAACACTTTCGAAGCCGTACATTGCCAAATTGAATAGGACTGGGTTTCTTCAACCACGCCCCCCCCCCACTTTCTTTTGATTTAAATTTAAGGACGTTCCTTACGTGTCAATGTTTGTATCGCATTCATCTCCAAGCAAATCATCATCTTTGTCACTCTGAGATAAAAAGCAAACAAATAAGCAGATTAGAATTGGGTCTATCTGATTCAAATATGGAAACACCCGTCTAAAAAATTGGTTGAAACAAAATCAAAGACAGTATAAAATGAAATCATCCCCAGCGGGGATCCAGGTGGAGGAGGGGTTAGGGAAACGCCCCAACCCACTCTATTTCAAAAAGGTAAAAAATGTTGAAACTAATAACAAAATTCTAAAATAAGTGCATCAATACCATTGTAAACAATTTATGCCATGTAATGTTTCATCATCGTTCGGCTTGTCTGCAAAAATTGAGACATTATTTAAAAAAATTTCCGGCCTGAACCCCCCCCCGGAAAAATACCTGGATCCGCCCCTGCACCGATAACGGCCTATTTCCAAATGTCTAAATGTCACTTGCATTATTCACTGAAAAAGCTTCCTACTAGTGCATCGTCTGCGCTTATGTTGCTACGTACATAATTATCGTAAACATGCATGCACTATGAAACACTTCATAGGGCCAGTGATGATCCTAGAATTTGTGCACACTTGGTGTGCAAAAACGGCATTGCAGCTCCACTCTTACCTGACTGGGATTGAAGATGTAACGGCAATTATCGCATTCATCTCCCCATCCATCATCGTCTGTATCCCATTGATATGGATTCTGTTTGTAGACGCAGTTATCAACAACATTGATTACACCTGCGTGCAAACCAATCACAGCACTTTGCCTTTTATAGCGATCAATGGAATAAACTCTTGGATGCCGAAATACATGTAAAGCTAGCTGTTAGAGATTTCTTTCACATTAAACTGTGAAGAAATTACTGCGCACCATCGAAGTCGGCCCATAGCTACATGTGATAACTTCATCTGGTGTACCCTGAACGTATTAAAAACCTGTCATGTCTATCCACGGTACAATCACAAAGCAAAGAACTTCACATATAAGAAGTCAGAGAGGGTTTGTTTACATGGTATCTTTGATTAAAATGGGGGGGTGATGTTTACAATTATTTACTGATGAATCAATCACGTGGCATATTGACAACTTATGTGGAAACATACCGTCATTGTCGATATCGTCATCACAAGCATCACCTACTCCATCCCTGTCTGTGTCGATCTGTTTGGGGTTAAACACTCTCGGGCAGTTGTCACACTGGGTGCCAATTTTGTCAAAGTCCTCCCCTTCTTCTTGCTTTGGATTACCTACCAAAGGACAGTTGTCCTGTGGAGAATATCGCATTTCAAACACCATTGGTATACGGTTGAATAACTACATGCATATAACTTCATCCTTGCACATTTTCATTAACTAAGATGCAGTCACTGCAAAATTGGGGTGATAAATTTAACACTCCCACTGTTATCACAGGACTACACCAACACTTTTCACTGGTATTAAAAATTTTGGTGTTATTTGGTGTTATGTTTAGCACCCGGCCTCCGGTTTATTGTTAGACTTCTAGATATGCAAACTAACGCCATCGGTGTTAAAGTAGCACCCTATGATGTAGTCATATGATAACACCAAAAAGTGTTGATTTTAACACCACAGTTTTTGCAGTGGTCGTTGCAATGACAGGCATGTTAAAATCTGGTCAGTTTTCCAAAACAAATGTCACGCTGATGTTCCGGTAAGTTCTACGTTCTATGTCCCGGATCAGGAGAACAAGTTAAACAACATAATGCTGACACGTTTTTAAAAATTGGTGTTCACATGGCTATAACACTGCAAAAAAACCTGTGTCAGCAGACGACCATACCAACACTTTTCACAGGTGTTACCATTTTTGGTAATATTTCAACACTGTTGGTGTTACTTTTAACACCCTCCAGTGCAATGCAATATTTGTATGTGTGTAAAGTAACACCAGCGGTATTAAAGTAACACATTTGGGTGTGATCATTTTATAACAACAAAAGCTGTAGCTATTAACACCAGAGTTTTTGCAGTGAATAAGCGTAAAATTGGATAAATTTAAAGATAATTCTGTCACAAAAACTTTTCCAAACTCCACCTCCAAAACATTTGAAGCACTTACTGGTAAGTTGAGCACTCCGTCACCATCTGCATCTGAGTCACATATGTCGCCGATTCCGTCACCGTCCACATCTTCTTGGCCGCTATTTGGGATTCTCACGCAGTTGTCCTGTTAGGGATTCCAGGCATGTAGTAACAGAGTAATTAATACAATAAACACTAAATCTTGCGTTAAAAATGTATTCTTAGCAATTAGCTGAGCTGGTATTGACGACGGACAAAACTGAAACACCAATCTGCTCCCAAATGATAGATATAATGCTTAAGTTTCCTTGTATACCATCTTTATGTGCTGTAACTGCACGTACCTTCATGCAATGTTTGTCCATACACGGTTGTTTCACATCAGGATATCCATCTATATCTGTATCGATACCACAGACGTAACCATTGCCAGCCCATCCAATGTCGCACTGTTATTAAGTGGCATTGAAAACATACAGGATGAAGGGATCAATAAAGTACCATTGGACACAGTACAAAACAGACAAAACGTGTTCTTTCCTCCATGAGACTGTAGCAAGCCACTTGTATGTAGGTGTAATGTTAATGTTTAAAGTGCGTTCCTTTATAACATGACGACCATAAAGCGTATACGCACTATATAGCTGGGTACATCTGCCCAAAATAACAATTCCGTTATTACGCTAAAAGAGCCCTGGTGGATTCCAACCCTCGACAATTTTGCCGTTATCGCTACACTGCATTTTTTCACGATCCCGGCCTCCAGGGTTATAATTCTTTGAGGGCATTTTCAAAACACTTTTTTTGAAAATCAAAGAATACAAAGCTGAAGAAAAATTGTTTCCATGAAAATTCATTGCAGCGACGTTTTTAGGGTTAAACACACCTTGCAAATGTCTACTGGGTTGCAATGCATTCACCGGGCAAATCAAAGGATAATTTAGCTCTTTTTTTACAAATGAATGAGTTCTCATACATGTACCCACATTCCACGGTACTCATTAAAGTTTTTCAACCTTACCTCACAATAATACTGGCCATTTCTTTTTATCTTGCATTCTGCGTGCTCGTGGCAGGAAAAGGTTGTACCATCAGGACACAATCGGGGCCTTGTGCATCCAACAGTCTGGTTACCACGGAAACCTTCTAAACACTCACCACAGATGTACGATCCCTAAGTGGAAATCAAGGCATATTATGACATAGCAAAATAATTTCATGTCTAAAATTCAAAATCAATGGTGTATACGCAGGATATGAGTTCAGACTTACTTGCGTGTTTATGCACCGAGAATTGGCAACACACTGCCCATTGTTGATGTTGCATTCGTTGATGTCTCGGCAAATCTAAAGATAATATGATGATATTTAGTCACATTAAATAATTCAGATGTATGAGCATAGTTGGAGAACATTAATGAAAAATCATTTATACCGTACCATCTATTTGATCAAAACAAATAATTTGCCATTGAAATTGCTCAATAATGTTTCGTTGAGTGAGATTTTCAGTTACGTTCTGCTGGGTATTCAGCGTTAGATTGAGTAAGGTCGGGGTGGGATGGGTTCAGATTGGTTTTGGTTGTATTGCGTAAACAGTTGTATTGCGTTGTGGCTGTATTTCATTGCTCGAAATACCTTTTCCGTGAAACCTTACGTTTTAAAATAGTCGGAATGCCGTTAGGGGCCGTCCCTAATGTACGTACGCACGAAGGGGAGAGGGGTGTGGTGGTGTTGCGTACACCATGTGTACAGATGGGGACGGGGGTTCTAGCCAGTGCATACCGTATGCAAACCGAAAGATTGCCTTCCATGAATCTTCATCATATCAGTACACTTTCTCATACAAATAAATATCAGAATCAGCTTTTGTGCATCGAAATTCAACCGCTGTATTCTCCACCATCCACCCCACCTTTTATCCTCCCGTGCCAACGCCATTATTAGAAAATCGAAACAATGCACGACAGAAAGACGAGCAGCGTCTTCCGGAATTGTGGAATGCGTATGCGTAGAGAGGGAGGTGGTTGGAGCCACTGCGTACGCCATGCGTACAGGGGGAGAGTATAAAAAAAAGTCGGCATGTCGCGCGTACGTACTTTATGGACGGCCTCTTACAGTATATAAGAGTATGCGTTACATTTGCACCTGTCTAGTTCGCCTGGCTGCTGCTAAGCCAACACCATCAATTCCTACTCCAGTGAAGCCACTCGGGCATGGTGTGCATCTGAATCCGGGTACAAGATTAACACAATTGGCAGCAGGTGAGCAGGGGCTGGCGAGCAAACACTGCAAAAGGGAGTATTGCATGTCAGTAAATGGTTGATTGGGATTGTTTGTTTTAATATCATAGCAACGAAACACCTACACACATATTCCAACAAAATGTCTAATACCATTAGATATCTCAATGGACAGGCAATGATCAGTTACTTATAAATATTTATCATTCACTGAGAAATAACTGCGTAGTAGTTTGTATAACACATCGGAAGGAATGAAGTCTTTATGTTTTAAGCATGACAATACGTTAACTTCACAAAAAAATCCCCGATCTACTGTTTCCTTACTTCAGACCTTTTAGCTTTTGGTTCTCTAGTCTATTGTGATGAAAATAATACAAAATGGATTTAGATCTAAATGGGCGATGTTCGTTCCTTTACTCGTCCCTTTCAAGGTTACATTTTATGTAGCACAGGAGAACATAAAACAACTGTTATTTCTCTCTTTTCTTTGGTAACCATAAGAAAAATACATAAACAGTGAAAACAAATTCAACCAGCTAACAAACTGAGGTTTATAACTTGTAATTTCATGAACCACTTTTATTTGAATTCAAAACGATAAGCATGTTTACGTACCGTACTTTTTCCCAGAATTATTCTTTGTATGTCATAAGTATTAACAGAATGAGCAGAGAGGGATAGCCTGTGATTTTTCTAGCTGACAAGAATTCTAACCTCATTTATGTCGGTGCAATGGGTTCCATTGCCTTGGAAACCGTCTGGACATGGTCCACACAAGTAGCCAGTGGGTGTGTCGGTGCACCTGACTGTGGGAAAGCAAGGACTCGACCCACATCGCTCGTATTTCTCAGGAGGAACTGGAATAATAAACAATATTTTATTTCACTTTACTAAAGGGAGACATGCTGTAAGTAACCGTCAATCAGGCACCTAATATCATGACTGCTGATTAGATTGCTCGGAATGTTGAGAAAAATGAAATACCGTCTGTCTGAGAAGGATACAATACTACAATGCCTGGCACACCACTGAGGAAATTTGAATGAACTTGAATGAAACCTGAAAGGATATCTCTCACTTGAAAATATTCACTAAATGCAGTCAAGTCCATAGTTTCAATATAAAGATGTGTGTTCCCATTTACCGCCTTATAGGACTCTAGAATCAAAAGGTAGGACTTTCCCACAGTATGTGTGATCTTACTAGTTGTGTTCTCACGACACATGGAGCATCTTTGCATCACTCCACGAAGACGAGCAATTTCTTTTGTCTATAGAAAATAGAAAAATCAAAATCGTACATTTTAAAATGGCTATTTTAAAACTAACTTCCCAAAATATATGTCAGTGCAATCAAGCATTTTAAGGACTGTTTACAATTACTACAGAGTAGGCCTACTTCTTTTAATAAGTGTACACAACTTTGCAGGAACTTGATATCTTACCAGCGAGCTTCCACAACTCTGTGAATACAATGTACATTAAGTGGACAGTGTGAACTCAAATTCATGGTTTGTTTCAGTCCATTATTTGTGAATTCTCCGACAGAAAATATTTTCTGTTTCTCCGTATAATGAAGCATTCTCAGAGAGAACATTTTCTGTTTCTCGGTATAATTAAAGATTCTTGGTCTTTTCTTCCCTTTTTAACACTGCCATGTCCCTACATTTGATTCATTTTCTATTTTTTTTTGCTAAAATGATGTGGACGGCTACTTCCTAACTGAATTAAAAAATTAATCACCGAAATGCCCCCTAAATGGCAGGTTCACAGTGGTTCTGAACGCTGTGACGAAAGACTAAAAACCTACTTTGCTGCATTTACTTCGAAAAACTATTTCAAAAATTCATCATTTATGCACTCTGAAAAAAATTTCACACTTCTGTAAAACCCGATGTTTTCATGACCAAATATTTTAATAGACTCTTGCTAAGAATAAGCAATTTAACCACCTGTTCGCTGAGTTCATTTTGTAATACGTAGATGGCATCAACAAGAGAACTCATGGAATCCATGAGGACCAACGTTCCCGAAGCTAAAAGAACAATAATAAAAGGCCGAACATTAACATACACTCCGAAACTCTCTTTACATTAAATGCTAGGTTTCCCTGCCCACATTTCTTTCAATAGCATTTTAACTTCTCTGAACTTTTACCATGGTTTTTACTTTTTGAAAAAAATGTGGCGTGTGCGTCATGTGAACCAAATTAGAAACATTTTATTTGTTTTTTTACTATTAGGATTAAAATGAATAAAGTGGGTAATCTGAAAACGTGAAAGATTTTAAGGACAACATTATCAAGAATTAACGCGATCAACATATATACTGAGATGACACTTTGAAGTCACGTTTCTTACAGGTATGTTAAGGTAACTTCAGTTTGGAATTTCTATCATTCAGACAGAGAATAATTTTTGGTATTTCCAAGTTTTAAAAAAATGCGTATCAAGAACATATAAACCGACTGAGCTATTTTCCCTACCTTTAAGGTGACTGACTTCTGCCACCTGATTCCTAACCATTAGAAGATAGAACAACTTACCAACACCCTCCCTTTCTCGTTCATCTAGTGGCTGGCAACCCATTGATCCTAATGCTTCCTCCAAAGAACCTCCAAACAAAACCTTGACATTTTGAACTCTGCCCTGTTGGATTAAGATATGATAATAAGGACCTAGTGTGACAATTTGACGAATAAGAACGGTGAAGTATGCATTGACTGCGCTCAGTGATCAATATCGGCCGTAAGGCGCCTTTCCTTATTCGCGTCAACACTTGCGTCAAGCGTTGCGTATCCGTCAAAATCACTCTCGGTGTGATTTTACAACGCAATGCACACGAGTGTTACGTTAATGGAGTCGAATTTTGTTTCCGTGAAAGTGAAACACATAAACGCAACGTGTATGTAACGCATCCCAAAAACGTACATATGGAAAGACGCCTTTATCTGAAAACTTATTATGCGTTCACATGCCTGTGCTTTCCAGGTGCAGCATTTTCAAAAATAAGTTTTCGCTGTGTTTATATTTTTCATCACTAGACAGCTAATAAGCATGAGATACTTCAGTGAATGAGATATTAGGCCTACAGAGATGAGAATGAGATGAGATACTGCAATGAAAGGATTAAAGCTCTTGAAGTCTCAAATTCTAGATAAAGTTCTACGGCCGTTAAGCTCCCACTTCCCTTGTAAGTTTTTCGTTCAAAAGCAGTTTTCTAATAACTATTGAGATTGCTGTAAGTTTTGCACATTGGTACTCATAGAACTCTGGACACAACAAGACATTCTGAATCAATTCGTCATTTCTTCATGAAATTGTATCGGAATTTTAACACGCCTTTGTTTGTAAAATTTGAACAAATGAGACTAGACTTCTTACTCCAACTTTTAAACGGTCAAGAATTTTGACAAAAGTACATTACCAGAAGAGGTTTTGGTGAGGTGATGAGTCCACTCTGTCCGACCCTCAACTGCGCCAGATTCAAGGCTTTCTTGTTAAATGCTCTCCCCAACCGGCTTGTTATCACTTGTGGTTTGCCGACGGGGTCACAGTCGATGTAAAGAGTAATCTCGTTCTTGGACTCTTGCAGCTTACTCAGGTGAACGATAACTGTGTGCCAACTTCCGTCCATCGTTTTGACACTTGGAAACTCTAGGGTGCGACTGTTATCTCCTACCATGTAACTGAATTTTACTGGGAAAATAACCACGTATTAAGACAAATGTTAGAACACAATCTATTTTAAGTTTAAGACGAAAAACATTTTTTGCACGGCGGTTATCACTTCAATTGTTTCCTTTTTCTTCCTCATTGCTGAAAATATTCTCACTACGCTTGATTCGTTGATCCACAGTTTATCAAGATAACCAATGATTTAAAATATGTAGCCAAAAGACACGTGATCATTTATACCTAGTGAGAAGATAAAATACCACACTAATTTGTTCCAACTTTCATGCTTTTATTACGTAGACGACTCTTTGCCCGTGCCAAAGCACTGCCACTGGCGAAACCCAAAAAACTGAATAACGCTTCGCTAACAGTCAGTAATAACCTCGCAGGCAAAGGTCGTGCACAATGTAGCCAATCACAGTGCAGGCCATCCAGCACCCCATCCAGCACCCTGTGTGGGCGCTGGGCAGCGAGCGAACAATTCCCTGAGCTGAGACTACTGGGCTTGGGTGGGTTTGCTAAGCTCAAATGTGGAACATTTTGCATTTGCACCACAACGGATTCTTCCGTATAACTCACTATGCCGGCTGATGGACAAGTTTTTTGGTGATACAAAGTATGTATTTGTAGGCAACAATTTTACTCAATTTGTTCTTACCTAAAGATATTCGCTGTATGACTGATACTCTTCTTTTGATATACTGCGTGTAAAAAAGCCATGCCTTACGCGCAGGCCGGTGTATGCAGTAACAGTTGGAATATAAATTTATAAAATAACATCGTAAAGTAGCGTTATTATTACCTTTGCCACCTGCTTCGCGAGTTCCATCAAACATGATCTCTATGCAAGGATGTATGCTGTTTATGGAGTAGACTCCAGTTAAAACGCTCTGTACACCTGAAGTAAGCTTTACCCGCGCCACAAAATACACATCGTCTTGATGTCGCAATTCTTGTGCCAGGGTTTTCAGATGGACCTCATCTGCGATAAGCGAGTTATATTGAAGGCGGCCGTCAAACTCATATGAGTCACCAAATAAGCTCGAGCCATCGTCCAGTACAACAGAAACACCAGAAACTCCTTGGGTCTTGATTGGGAACAGGTCGAGGAGGTTCATCTCTGAAACTGAAAAAAAAAAAGAAACGTGTAACGATATTGATAGTTTTTTCTCAAAGGCATTATGAACATATGCGACGACAATTTGGGGAAACATTTGTTCTTGACCATTATGTCCGCAGGCCCATTTTGTCCACAGGCCCATTATGTCTGCACCATGTCGTCAATGGAAATCAATATCCTCTACAATGACATGGGAACATATTGGTTTTACTCCATGAATGATTCTTTTTCCGTTTCAATGACAGTGACGGGCCAGTCACACAAGTAAAACTAATTAACTGGAGGCCTTGAAGACAAAAACTAAAATTTGACGAATCCTGGTAAGGTTTGCGAAATCATTTTCGCAAATTTCGTCAGTCCTTCGTAATATCATATTTTTGTTTGGTATTCAAAAATGAAGCGGATGGTTTTTGCATTGTGTGCGCTTAAAACGGGACCATTAGGTCAGGCTGAGATGAAGCAATTTATGTCCAGACATTTTAAGTAATAATAAGTAATCAGTGAACAGACACGTTTTAGTGAGACTAAACAACAGTAATAATTCATGGCAAATAACAACGGAAATCTGAGGTGCAAATAACATTTTTTAGTTCAAAGTAACATTTTTAAAGTGCAAAAATACATAAAGAATACATGGCGTACCCGAAAAAGAATTACAATTGAAACCCAACGAATACAAACTGCTGTCGAATCTCTATATGTTTCAGACAGAATTTGCATTACGTCGTTTATTAGCTTTTCAAGAACACAAACCACAAAATCTGTGGAAACAAACATGATAGGTTTCAGTTTTGTAAATTTAACTATGTTTCACAACTAAATGAAAGCCTTTTTATTTTTACTGTTTCAAACCTCTCCAGCTCAGGACAACCGTGACGTTACAAACCCAGGAATAATTCCTTTCCTTGCCCTCATTTCAGATTATAACTATGAAATCTTAAACACCAGTACTGCTTCATAAATCAACACTTTCCACATGAAGAAGATTCGCTGTATGTGGGAGGGAGAAGGGAGTAATCATAAATGTCGCCTCTACGTCTCGTACGTTTGGTGGCTTGGAGTTCGGCCGCAACTATGAATTTTGTTTTTTCTGGACTTTTTTTTGAAGTATTTCTGTGGCTACGAAAATCAGGGAAACCAGTCTGTGTAAGCAAGGTTCAATCGGTCGATATTATCCTTTTGTTAACAGGGGATTCAGGATTATTCCAATAAGATTGCTGCGGTGAATTAGATTTTTGTAGAAGAGAGAGGGATGAGATTTGTTATCTGCATCAACAGGTCCACTCCTCCACTCCTTTCTGGCAGTTTGATTTTGCTTCACGGACGAGGGGTCTGTTTGCATATACCTGTACATATATATAGTAGAGGTTTTTTTGGGGGGGACCAGCATGGAGAGAATTTTCCTGTCAGTTTAATACACTGGCAGAGATACCAACATTCGTGCTTAGTTGAGCTTCCTAGAAAGTATGAGTGAATTTTCCTTAATTTTAAAAGCACAATATTTAAATGGTCTAATGCAAGGCCACGATAGTGGGTGGGTTACACTGGTCAACACACACATTAAAGATTTATTACATCATCACTGTGGAAAAATAACAGCCTACATTAATATACCCGCAAGAAATTTAAAAAAAAAAATTCTGACAACAATGAAAAATACGTCTCAGTGCAAGCCTGAACTGAACTGAATCTGCTTGCCCTGAAGAAGGTACTCAGTTACCGAGAGCTCGGTAATCACATATTCCAGAGCACTGATTTTATATTATATTCTTGTTGATACTCTGCGCGCACACATCATGCCTATTCATGAGGCGCATGCACTCATGTGCATAAAACTTCAACATGTGGAACCATTTGAATAATAAAGGAATCCACTCCCATAGTGTTCTACAGACAACAAAATTGCGTTGCGTCGTAGCCCCGACGCCAAGACGCAACGCTATAACGGCTCCGTCGAGTCTTGCCTTCGTATCATGCTGTCGTGACGTCGCGTCTTGCCCTCGTAGCGTCGCGTCGTACTGTTGCGTCCCTGTCACTGTATGGTTTCTATCCGGTTCGTAAGTGTGACATCACTTCAGTTTAAACCACGCCTACTGCACATGCATTGATTGCCGTTTACATGGAACCATAGAACTGGAAGTTAGTGCAACCTTAGTGATCTTCCAATGGGAGCCTGCAAAATCGTGATGCGTCCGCCTTTGTGAGGAAACCACTTACGAACCGGCTACATTGTGCTTTAGGCTTTTGCGTCCTGGTGACGTGCCGTCGTGTCGTTGCACCGTCGTGTTGTACCGTACGTCGTGTCGTCGTCCGTCGTATCTTGCCGTCGTGCCTTATTTTCTGAAATTAGCTGTTGATTATTACACATACTGGGCTGTATGTGGACACAGCAGAGCGGACAAAATGGGCCTGCAGACACACGGGGCAGACATAATGGGCCTGCAGACGCAATGGGCAGACATAATGGGCCTGCAGACGCAATGGGCAGACATAATGGGCCTGCAGACGCAATGGGCAGACGTAATGGGCCTGCAGACGCAATGGGCAGACATAACGGGCCTGTGGACACAATGGGGCGGACACGATGGGCTTGCGGACACAACGGGCAGACACGATGAGCCTGAGTATACAATGGGGCGGACATAATGGGCCAGAAAAGTTTGCGGACACAGCTGGCCATGCGGACATAATGGGCCGGAACAAACGTTCTTCCTCAACAAGAAAATTCTTTTCTGCCGTGTTGTACATGTATGGTGTAGTTTCCATTAACCTGAGGTTTGTCTGGTCGAATGCAGTCGTTTTTAATAGACACTTTCTACTCTGCGTCCTTTGACATTGATTCCTAAAGCCTTGTCAAGTAGTGGATTTAGTTTGATGGTTAGATTCCAACACACTCGTCTCCGGAATCGATTTCCTGTATAAAAAAAGGGTTCTCATTTTCCTGAATCTCACGAACATTATCTTCATCAACCGACTAATATCAAAATTTTGTTTTTCTGGACCAAATGTAATAAATGTCTCATGGACTCAGTCCGTCCTATGTAATATTTCGCAATCACTGGAAATTCTCTTACTGCGCAGACATTATATACTACTCCTACTACTTTTTTATGAGAAATCTTACTGCTAAAAATGTGTACTTGATGTTTTGGAAACATTTTTAAAATGTTATCCCAATGAGAACATCAAATAGACAAACAAAAAATGAAAGAACTGGACCCCACTCATTGCTTGCAAAAATAACAAGTTAAGAAAAAAATGGTCCTTCACTTTTTGAGTAGTGTAATTTAGCTGAGTTTGTTCCATGCTAAAACTGTCTGGAAATAAGCAATTGGGCAATTGGTGATTTCAAATAGATTTTGAAATAGATTTTGATAATAAACATACATTTACATTTCTTCATAAATACATGAAGATGATATTCTTTTATTTTCTTAAACAAATAAAAGACTAAATAGTCTCATGAATTAGCCCATATATAAAAAGACCAGCATGAATTGAATCATGTTCTATGTATAAACTGCAAAGCTAAACTTTCCAAAAGTACAGTAGGTGGCGCATATACTGTCCTACAGACTAACAGAATTATATCAATTTGTACATCTGCCATATCTGAAGTCACTCGCTGATCTATTTCAGTCGTACATCTTCCATTCCGTCATATTTGTCCGTTGACTGGAGGAATGCCCATCTTCAAATTCAATTATGGCTCAGCGGACGTATTATTTGCAAAGAGACAGGCTACCTTGTTTGTGATACGCTCCAAGAGCAGAAGTGAGTGAAAGAGCCAGGTTTGCCGTAAAAGCCACTGAGCATTGATCAGTCTGACAAGATTGGAAGCAATTGCGAGTGATGTGCTTGGAGGGATGCAGAGACATCCACCGCAGAGTCCAATTCGCTTGGAATGGCGACTCAACACGAAGAAGCTCCGGTATCCCCAGTGAAATCCAGTTGATTCAACTATTTCTAGCTCTATTAAATTCCACAAATATCTGACCCACAAAACACATTTCATGTTGATGTGGTATTTCTTTTTTACCTAGCAGTAACTGTTGCATGCAGCAGAGCCAATCTAATGGTTAGTAATAAAGCTGTGGTGGTTCAAAAGGAATATCCAATACTTAAATAATATGCCTCATTACATTACATTACACCTGTAACATAATCGAGAATACTGCATCACGCCCCTCCCCCACGCACAAATGTCACATATGTTATTATGTCTGTAACTATGAACGGGGAAGATGTTGTTGGAATTCGTACAAAGTTTTGAAATTGTTTCATAAAATTTCCTCCTCCTTTTTGAATCTTTGACAAAACACTTTGTCAGCACTAAAATCTCCCCACCAAGAATACTGGATGCGATAAAATAATGCACTTTACTGCACTCACAAGTTAAGTCTGTCTTCCAAACTTACCTCCATTTTTTGCCTGGATGAGAAGAAGGTTGCAGAAACATGTCAACGGCAAGATCCAAACCCAATTCAGCGTGTGCCCCATCTGTCATGAGAACAGTAATGGCATTAGAAATTAAAATGCTATCCATAATTACCTTTTAAAAAAAACCCTTCTATGAGGTGATTATAAATGATTTGTTCAATAAAATTCCGTTTGAAAGTGTTTGCAGCGAGTAATCAATATTGACTTTTTCAACATAAAATCCAAAGTGTAAGAATCTCCGATGATACCTTCATATCAGATGAACTTGGGTACAATAAAGATTTCCGGAGCAACGAACCAATACGCTCACTTTCTCCAGCAGTTACCGAGCAAAATAAGTTGAGATCGCTGTCAGATGAAAGATGTTATGCCGTTGACGTTCCCGAGCAAACTGGCTGAGCAGTGTTCATCGCAGTGAAATATATCAAGCCTTGGAGGTCAGAGAGCGAGGGCAAGTTGGGCTTGGAACCACGGGGAGGATGTAATCGGGTTGGGGTTGAAGACGCACCAGGGCCTCGGGCTTGCGTATCTTGGCATCCGACGAATACCTGCGCGGCAGGGAGCTTCAGGAGGGCTGAAGGCGAAGTCAAACGATACTGCCACTTAGCATGGGTCGCTCAAACTGCAGAGAAGATTCAAGAAAATACTAAAATATGCCAAACAACCAATTTAGGAGCAATTTGTGGAATGGAAACTATTCCCCACTAAGTCTGTCTATTTCCTGATGACTGGTGCCGGAGACCGTTGTGATTTGACATTGGGCCTGACATTCATGTCTTGCAACAGGAGAGTCTGACACAGAATCAGGACATCAAATATTAAGTACAGTGAATGAAATTATTCCCCACATTGTTTTTTTCTTTGTAATATTTCATTTTCAGTTAGTTCTGCTTAGTTGCTATTTCTTCCAGAAACTTTTTGTGCACTTTTCTATTTCTTTTTAATTTGTTTTCTGCAGTCAACAAGATGTTACTGACGCGAATTAAAAAAAGGTTTTCATGATTAATCAAAGATTAGATAACACTTTACAACATATCTCAGAAGGACGGTTATAGTTTATCACAACACATTTGTCATTTTCCAATAATTGACATGAGTAGGTGCAAGAGATGGTCAGCGAGATAGGGGAAGCATCCCGGAGGGCAGATACATAAAACACCAGGAGCATTAATGATTGTCATAGGCGGATAGAAGAAACGATTGTCCATCCAATGCAAACTGAACCTGACACAGGAAAGGAGAAGTCCGAGTATATGGCAGAAATACGCCCATCGTTTTCGCTGGAGGTTCTTGTTTCTGCTTGTTTGCTATACTTAATAGCACTTAAAAGTGGTATTTTAGAGGAATTTTTATTTAAAAAATATTCAAAGTATATGAACCCCACGATTAAAAAACTTCGAAGAGGTTGTCAGGGAAGAAAACATGAAAGTGTGGCACCCACAGAAAGCCTATTTCAGATGCTGATAGCTGTCAGAACTCATTTCCTAACAAACGTGCAGAATCGTGCATGAACTGTTGCCTGCGGCAGAAGATGGTTATACATATCATTATACCATTATGAGCTATAAATATCCTTACCGGATACTTCACAATTATTGGTGACGTATTATACGGCGCGCTGGCCCCAATGGGGAAATGCCCTGATAAATATAGTCACATAGGAGGTCGGAATTCCCGCTAACAGTAGTTTATTTAATCGTCTGTAACCAGTGATTTATTTGTGTTATCTTAATCAATTTTGAAGACACTTATGTATCAAGCCCAGGAAGTGACAGGGTGGAAGGGTTGGGGTGATTGTTTGTTGGTCGGTTTGTTTGTTTGTTTGTTTGTTTTGTTTACTTACTTGCTTGCTTAACGTTGCTTTTTCGTTAGTCCAAATAAATACTTCATTCGCAATAACTACTACTGCTTTATTGTTTTTATTGGTTTCATTTTTCTTGGTAACTATTGTGTTACCTGGACTAATCGACTAATCGACACGAAACTGTTCATAGCATATGCTCAGTCTGGCCACATTCATCTTTTGAGCCCAATGTGCCAGTGTTCCGTTTGTCTAGGTGTCAGATCTCCAGATCTACGTAAGCTTCTACGTCACGCATCCAAACGTCACGATCACTTTAAGGCTTCCCCACGTGTAAGGCATTTACACAGTATGCATTCGGGGGTAGTGTTAAGTTTGTGTCGGCTTGTATACTTCTAAAACAAAAAGATACCTCCGTTATGAATAACGAGTTTGCATAACATAATAACAAGTTGTCAAAATATTTTGATACAGTTCCCGTTCCTGTTTCTACCATCGAAAAATGGAATTGACGATTAAGCTGTTTCCTTTGCGTGCTTCCCTTCATTCAGGTGGAAATACGACTTGAAATTACGCTGTCTAGGTAATACCAAAATGTAAAATTAACTAGCTTGTACAACTAAACTGAATTTAAAATATGTTTATTTCGATCACCTGCAAAATCATGGGAAAAGTAGCATGTAGTGCCATGGGATCGAATAGATATTACGCAAAGAAACAATGGACAGATGTACATGTAAATTCCACTAAGCTTGAAAGGATCGGATAGTTCTTTTATAATTTGGAGGAAGTTGGAATGGGAAACGCAAAATAATGTCGTATTTTGACGTTTTCAAGATGAGTTCAGTCCCTAAAAACAAAAAAGTAATGCTGACCAAAATAAATCAATCGGGATATACAACCTGAATCGGAAGCAAATATCAATGACATAATGTTTTGGGTGACGTCAACTGGCAATACTAACCGTCATTCCACGGAGCAACCGCCTGGGTTCCACCAATGAAAACAAGTAGACACAACCACCATGTATTATCAAATTTATTTTGTGGCTGCAGCTAACATACCAGTGAATTTAGATCTGACCTCCAGGGTTAAACCCAAAGGTCCAAATAACCAGGAATGTAGTGCTGTTTGTGTGCATGGAATATTTCGCAGACGTGAAGTTTTTTCTAGGTTTGTACAAAAACACCTAGAATTCGACACGGAGGGGGAATAATATTAACGAAAGAATGTCATCGGTTGGAAAGTAAGCATTTAAACCTGCACATGTACGACACCTGCAGGCCCTGTCTCATTTCGGAGATGTTAATAAGTGAAAATTCCAGATTACTTCTTTAGTATTTCAGTTTTTGGTCATGTTTTGGCCATGTAAAAAGAAATTGATGATCATCTGTTTTGCCTGTAAAGGAAGGGTAGCGGGGATTTTTTTAAAAAGAAATCCACGAGTTAAAATGACGGCAAGTTTATGCAGGGTACTAGTACAGCCGAACCCTGGTATTAAGAGGACCTTGGGACTTAGTCTATTATCTTGTTATAACAGGAACCTTGCTTTTATATTGGTAATAAAAAGCAGTGAGAAACAATTGTTTCTTGTATTAAAAGTTGTCTTGTTAACAAGGTTTGACTGTATGTTTGTGCATGCAGTCATAGCCACAGTCAATAATTCTGATGGGGTCGTGTCTGATTAGTCATTGGTGCTGTTCCGTTCCAGCTCTCCTTGATCGAATAGAGCTTTGCCCTTTCCTGGCGCGCGTGTCCAATACACGGAACAGCCTTCTGATCGACAATGAACTTGTCTGAATTGAATTCTCAGACGTAGGGTAAACTTGGGATCGTTTTTCGTTCAATGTTTCGGTGCAAATTTTTTACTCCCCCCCCCATTTTTTTAAAATAAAAAATAGAAATAGAAACATGGGTCGGAGGCATTCTGGACGGTTGGGCGGGGATGATAACCTTTTTTTTACATGGCCTAAGATGTGGGGTTTTTTTTCTTTCAAAACCTTGCCTGATGAGGCAGTTCGAATACATAGTCATCGGTATGGTCCAGTTCAGTTGTGAAAATTGAACGTACTATTCTCACGCTGTAAAAGTTTTTCTGAGACAGACTTTTCCACTACTGTTCTCAATGTATGCGACCGGACACACGTGCCCTTGAACTTCAAAATAATGACGGTAACAACATAACTATGTCAGATTGACTTCAGACTTCATATCTGTAGTGATGAGCGTATTTACATACATACCAAATTACAAATAAAATCGGGTTTGGGACAGCGGGATCCCCCCAGCTGTCCAAACTACTTCAGCTCTTTTAAGGTTAAGCAACCAGGATTTGGGTAAAGTAATTTAGATGACATCTCAGTGCGTATTTGATGTTCTTTTATGCACGTGTATTCATAATCACTGATGATCAGCCTCCTAGTGTGTACACGAGGTACTTGAAGCTTAGGTGGACTCGTCCTGCTGCAATCCTGGACAAATCTCGTCGGAACATGCCTCCCCCTCGCCACCGTCAATGTTGTTTCTCATTGGGTACCGGTAAGTTGGGCTTAATCTTGATCCAATAAATGACCGCAACATTGAACAGGGGAGAGGTGGGATCTTTTCACCACGCTTCGCACAAGGTGTTCCAACTATTTTGTCCAGGATGGTGGCTTTTGACACCATACATGAATTTTTCTCGAGATGACATTAAATTGATACGGAAATAAAATTTCTACCTCTGCATGTTACAATAAGTTAGAAATGTCTCTTGAATAATTTTTTTTTATTTGTTGTCTTCTAAATCTTCTTCAAATCGGCGAATGAATTAACCTTCACCACCCCTCCACCGACATAGATGTTACTTTATGGGTCGAAGACTATGTGCCTCTTTTAATTCAAAGTATCTCGTTATTGAAAGAAGAGTGTCGAATTAGCACATCTCAAAGCTTGGTACCGGTACTTGTAACCAAATAAATATCCATCAAAATGGCAGTCGTCCACTGAACAATGCAAAACCGCAGACAGTTCGGAAGTGAAACTATTTGTAGTTGATGACACATAGCTTGATTTCTTGAGTGGTTCAGGCCTGTACTAGGCAGTCCCTCGGATGGAGTTGTACTGAACAAACAATATACCATCCCGGGGGTCAGTCCCACGGCGAGGTTGTGGGTTCATATGTTTAACAGCAGTTTCAACGGAAACGCCCAATTTGGACACAAATATAGTGTCAAGGATTTCACTTGTGCTACTTGATATTCAAAGAATTGAAGCATTTTAAGACGTCTGGGTTTTGTTACCCTGAAGTCCACCCCACTGGCTCCGATAGGATATATGCCAATGGGAATGCTGTAACTTTGAAAACCTGACCTGGTTTCGTTTGTAACTCTAGGTAGCAGTACGCGTAACACTCCATCATTCTAAATATAACGTAGTACCTGTACGTTAGATCCCTTCTTGAAACAATGTATTACCCCCCCCCCCAACGGACTGGAAACCTGTAGATTGGCGTCCTTTATACGGCAGAAGCGTATATGACGCCAAAGCACTGTCTATAATACGTGTATTTCCAAGTAACAGAAACCGAATGGCAGTCGTTTAATGACAAAAGTCGTCTTAAATACTTCCTCTGTAAAAGTTAACATTCCTTTTCAAAGAAAAAGCGACAGCACTGTATTTATCAGCTCGACAAACTTCAAAAGTTATAGCCAAACGTCACCTCAAAATCGGAACCGATCTCCCAACATGCCTGTACATTTCGTTTGCCCCTTAAAACATCTACACTACCCAGAATTTCGACAAAACAGAATAAAATAAAACAAACGCAGTGACGAAATGCACCTGGCCCGGGCAGTTGGTCCTGGTGGCACATGGTTCAATGGAAAGTATTTGGTGAGTTCATTGAACAACATCTGTCAGAGCCTATTATATTTGATGGACTCAGATCGGCCAATGGGCAAAGTTGAGAACTTGAGATCAATTTTCAGAAACCTATCTTGTATTTATGACAAAATACACAAAGCATAACATGTAAGCTACACACCCACCCGAATGCAATCTGTTATTTGTGCCTGTGTGGGCTGGTTTATTTTCACCGATTCTGCACACATATCCTTTTTAATGTATGTTTTGGCTGTTTCCTCAAAATTGGCCTTAATGACGAAGTGGACTGTTCCATCACACCGCGTGGCAGCAGTTATTTCTATTTCGATGCTAATTGGTAAAGTTACTGTAAATTGTACCTTAGCAGTGGAAATTGCCGTTTAATATCGTTAACTACGAGTTGCATCGCACCAGATTTCTTCGGGATGACTCTTTCCAAGACGGCGGTACAAACCCTCTTCAAAAGACTGTAATGAACTGAGCTGATTCTTTACGCGAAGGCTACATGAAATGAACACATCCGTTGTTGAATGACATTCCCGACGTGGAACTTTCCTCTGTTTTAGTGGGAAATTTAACTATAAAACTATATACAACTATAAAAAAAATAGAGTTCTCCAAACAATTGGGATAATGGGTCGTATGAATAAAAAGTAGCATTTGCTTTTACTACCATTTTTGAAGCATTTACTCGTGTTTATATGAATAATAATGAGTAAATGGTTTTACTTCAGTGCAATTGCTAAAAAGTAAAAGTATTTACATTTTACTCTTTAAGCTTGTTCTTGACGATAAGAAGTTGCTTCATTTTATATGAATAAATATAAGTAAGTTCTAAAGAGTTGGAGTATTTACTTGACATTTTTCAAGACTGGGTCAGGGCAAGCTTGAAAACGAAGAGCATTTACTAATGTTCAAAATGGCAGCATTCATGAATGTCATAAAGGAAAAGCTGTATGCCTTTAGAAGGGGAATCTCAAGAAATCAGATGTAGGCAGTTGTACTGATTTGAGAGTGGCAGAGAAATTTTCTTCAAGATTTTTGTGATCAAAATTACCGCCATCCTCTTCATTTTTGCAAAAGGTGCAAACATTGGAATCCAACGTATGAATTTTACATAAATACGAATTAGTACCAAGAATTCTGTGGATTAATCTACGTGGAGGAAACCCTTATCTACGTTTTTTGCAACTGTAAATGTGTCAGTTTTTCTGGAGCACAATTGTAGATTGGATTAAGGACAAAACAAAGATACACCTTGTAATAGACAATCAACTTTTATTGTTCGGTGTTGTTGACACTAGACTTAAATGCCTTAATCTTATCCTTTTGGTTGCCAGATTTTACATATATAAAATGAAAATGAACATCAAACGCCCCTCATTAGAAGCTTTGAAAAAGGATATCCAGAGGTATTGTCATTGTGAAAAATATTTGGCTTCTATCAATGGTGCCTGCCAAATGTTTTGGTTGAAATGGCAAAATTACTCTGCACTTTGTCAAGTTTAATCCGAATAATTGAAGTATTATAATCTTTTATTACTGTATTAATTGCTATTAAGTTTGTGTTGACAAGAGAGAAATAAAAAAGGTGTCTCTGGAAAAACAATTACTGCCATCGTGCTTATCTACTGTGCTAAGGTCTCGAGATACAGCACCGTGCCGCACTGTGTGTGTGTCTGTATGTGCAGACAATGCAAGCCCTATTGTGCAAAACGTTTGGCTGTGAAGTCAGCCACAAGCATTTGTTACTATTTGTACAAGCAGATGCTGAATAGTAAAAGAAACATACAAATTCAAGCAATGCTTATTCTTAATGCTTTTACTTCTCAGTAAATGTTTTTGCTGTTTGCTTCTTATACTTCATAGTGAGCATTTGCTAGTTTGTATTTATACGACCCATTGGCTCACATCAGTGGTAGTACATTCTCACTACAGTTCAATACCCCACTCATTTACCACGAGTATGCTTGTAGTAGCAAAATATGCCCCCCATTACCGTTAAGCTTGATAAAATCGAGTCAATTTTGTTTACAGCGTACTTCTTGCACAACAAATTTATTCTTTCTACTTTACAGCAAATTGTTCTGATAGGCCTACATGTAGCCGGTTAGGGAGTAATGAAAAAGCGAATTCGTGTTTCATCATTCATTTCAGTGCATCTATGTAAAAATATTTTAAGAAACAGGGTTAGGCCTAAGTGTTTCGTGTATTGTGAGAGATATATTCCCCTACCCCCCTCTTAACAGCGACCATAGCATTAACCATTTTACTCTTGAGCTGAATGAGCTGCCCCTCTGTCTGCAGTCTCCCATTCTAACAAGTTCCGTATTACTTATTAGTTTGGTTAAGGAACATCAGCGAGAAAGACAACGTAATCAATGAATAATTGGAAGTGTTCAACTGTTCATACGATAATGTTGCACATGACTGTAATTCACTGAGCCACATGTCAATTTTATGACCTTTTTACATGCATTGAAGTGAAATATTTATCCTCCAAAGAGTATCAAGTGTGCTTGAAATACAAAAATATTAAGGCAACACATACACACATAAAAGATGAATGCGTCAACCTGATTTGTATCATCAGGGATGGGTTAACGCTAACACAAATTACTGTACCTCACTTAAACCATAGTGGTTAAAATATCTCAGAACAGTTGATTTTAAAACAAAAACTAAAAAACGTCCTTACTTTTGCCTGCGCAGTATATAAACGGCACATATACAAGTTCCCCTTGCTTTGGCTCTTATTATATCCGGAGATAGGCCTTTCTTATTTTAATTCTCTATGACTTCTTATTAGATCCTAAACTTTTTCGTAGGCCCTGGGCATAGTACCTACTATGCCTATTGGATAACCCAGTGAATTGGGAGGTGGGGGCAGAGAGGGAAGAAGTCGTGGGGTACAGAAGACCCGTTGTACCAAGGACTGAGGATAGGACACCAGATGTTACTGATGTTAATTGTAACCTATTTTCTTGGGGAAAGTGTTTCATTTGGCTTCTCTGATTCGGTAAGGGAGCTAATGCTTAATACTCGTGATGAGTTTAGCCAGGTTCCAGTTGATGTGGTGTCTGCAGTGTGTATGAGCGTTTCAGCTTCATCCCTTGCCACAATCCCGAGGCTCCTGCCATGAGCTTTGTGTTTTGTTTTGTTCGGCAGTGAGGTCCCACGGATGTACATTACACTTGCTACATTGGCATGGGAATTTGCACACACTCCAGGTCCGCTTTATAGAATCTTGCCATTCCTCGTGAGATTGAAGCAGAATCTGCATCTTGAGGGGCGCTTTGTAGAAATAAAAATAAGATACCATGCTTCCTGTAGGCCTAAGATCGCATTGGACGTGGTTGTCAAGTACTTCGTAAGTAGAGGCGGATAAGGAACTAAAAGCCCTGACTATTGTGAAAGACACCCACCTGCTGGTGTTGGTTTTGGAATCTTGTATTTTTACTTCGTCTTGATTTGTATCTATTGCGTTGCAATGCTCTGGTGATGTAGTGAGGTTCTCTTGTGTTGGTTTTCCTTGTCAAAGATGCCCGCAGCAAAATCCTCAACGTTACCCCCCGCCCCCTGAAAGGGTCTAGATCTACCCGTGATATTGCTAAACCGAGGTAATGTGTATGAATTGTTTTAGGGGAAGCTTTTGTCTGATTGGAGAGTTAAGCATTACTTCTTCGTTTTGCTTTGACAAAGGCCCATCTTGAAGACGGCCTCAGTTAAAAAAATGGTGAATTTACTCTTGAATACGAACGCATTTCCTGCAACTATTTTGTTCGCATTCGACAAGACAACGGTTAAATTATGACACTAGACATGCCTTTGATTATATAATTTTATTGTTCGGTTTTAAATATTACTATGATAAATTGGAAGATATTGGACTTCTAATTTTTATATGACTGAATTAGCACTTAAATTCAAAATACAGGTATTGCCAAGGTACTGAAAATTTCAGATGGTAAAGTTAGTGTACATATAGGTACATGTATATAGCAACAACTTATCTTAACCGAATCTGTGTACTTGTTCAGTTTACGTCACCAGGATTTTCCCGTGGAGGGGAAGTACCAGTCAACATTCTGAAAGAACCATCAATGGTGGAAAGGGCTACCGTAAATTCTGAATTTGTCTTGTAATGGAAGAGGACAAAATGACCTCCAAATAAAGTATATGGAAAAGGTTATTTACTGACCATTTCATCCCGGCCCTATAGTTTCCTCCTTTCTTTTCAGGACGCTCTGTATTAAGAACACCAATCAGTTACCCAGTAGATCACAGTTACCATCACAAAATGGTCTCGATAACCATTTGCGAGACATTACTGTTGAAGTGCGATGAGCAGGCTGACAGGAAGCCCTTCGCACTTATATTTGGAAAATTTGCCAAAATCTCGTATTGGCAATACACCTTTTTGACGTTCGCAAGGCATTAAAGGGCTTGGATGACAAATAAGCCAAAAATATTTATGTATAAACTTATGGGGCATAAGTGAACCAGTCAGAAATCTGTTTACAGATTTCTTCTGAATATATTTTATGTATCTGCTCATCACCTCACAGATGCATGCGTATTATACAAGAAACATTTTCAAAATAGCGACTAATTTTTCAGAGGCTTGCAAGAGGAAGAAATCGCCCTTAATAATTATCATTTAAAGGCACCAGTTACTCTACAGGCTGAAAATAAACGTGACTGGTCAGTGCGGCATGAATGAACAAGTCGCGATTTTGATTGGACAATACTAGAGCAATAATATTCACGATCTTAATCAAAGCGGGATTCCCCGGTTTTTTTCTTTTCTGCCAAGCCTTTAAGCTTTAAGTTTGTGAATATCTTCATCCGAAATCAATAATGCAACACTCTGTCAGAAGAAGATGGCTTGATTGGAGTATGAAATAAAATGGAAACAGATTGACGTTTTGCAGGTACACTTCTCCCATAGGGTTGTGCTTAAAATACATTGCTTGTTTGTCATCCAAACCCACATGCATTGCGATCGTCGGAAAAATTTATTCGGGGCAGCATCCTTTCCTTAAGAAAACGACACGCCAGCAAAAGGGGCGTAGCTAAGGCATTTTCTTTGAGCCGGGGGGGTTGCCAGAGTGTAACTTGTTCGCCAACCTCGTGTCGCGTAAATTCACAAAATGCGGAAAATGGAAATCAGTGGTACGCTACATACTGCAGGGAAATGACGACAGCTAACGTACCAAGTTTGGATTCATTTGTCAAAGCTCTAGGCCTATTTGCCAATTTTGGGGGCGTGCCACCCCCTCCCGGTTGCCGCAACGTCCCTGACGCCAGCTAATACTGATCTCTAGCCCAAAATGTTCCCACTCTCTTAAAACCCCTAAAAAGATCAATAAAAGATCAGAATGAACGTGTAACGTGTGTAAGGCCTTTAGCCCTTTAGCCCTTCGTTGTATGTGTATGTAGAAACGGCCGTGAATGCCCCAAACGTCGGAATAACAGCCACGATTAAACTTAAACGTCTATAACAGTCTGCCAGAATGCGATGGTTGCAGATACGTATTACATGCAAATATAACATGAAAACATGGCCAAAGTGTCTTAGTTCTTGCCCTGCGGTCAAGTCAGGCTTGTCACCTGACAGAGATTCCGGGAATGTTCCCACTCGGGGCTACCGTTTGTGCCTGGCCGTGACTGGTAACGACGATAACTGACGTGACAACTGGACCCGCATAGCATAAAGGCGGGCAAGCCATCTTTGGCTTTTCCTGCGGCGAACAAAAAACTCAAGATTGGTCCAAGCTACAAACTTCGAATCGCAGCATTAACAATTTGAAGGCGACCGTTTGGTTGATAAGAATTGTTGGATCGGTCCTGTAGGACCACTGCGTGATTACTCTAAGGATTAAAGCACAGCAAATCTAAGTTGACTAAATGAACTAAGAGCTTCTTGCACTATAACCTAAGGTACGAGTACTGCAGTCGTTAGAGGTGGGTGATATTTTACTTTTCTCTGCAGCACAACCTAACTTTTCTGGGATCCCTATAGTGATTCAAGACAGTTACGTCCCCTTGCACCAAAACAGAGGACAATGTGTGACCCACATCAACACAGTATTGACCCTTGTTCTCAGTTTGATTAATGTTCTTGTACAAATAAACATTAATAAGCAATGACAGTTTCCGTCTAGTTCACCTCAGTCTGGTTGGAATATTAAGGAGATAGTTGTGCAACAGGTCCATTTTATTCAAATTCTTAAAATTCTCGGATTTTGTTTATTGTTTGAAATAATAAAAATAAATATTGAAATAATGGCTCTATGTCGAAATAATTCTAATATTTTATGACCTTGCAAGCGTCCGCTTCCTGTCTTCATACTGGAAAAAACACAGAGGATGCACCAATGAGGCGAACTATAGTTGTTCCGAACTCAAACGTCACCGCCATCATTGAATTAAGATTACATACCATACAAAACTAAACGTACTTTCAACAGTTTGCAGGCGGATAGAGGATACAATCTTATCGATACACATAAAGTTGACACCAAGTTGTTTTTCAATGGTCGAATAAAAGTAATATTTTAAGCATTTACCAGAGCTGTTAACACTAATTTCGCGTAGGTATTTGTCGAGTACACTTTCTTAATTTCTTAATTCTATGCGTGATACTTAGGGAACACGGTTTCATGTCCCACCGCATCCTAAGAAGCCATTTCATTAAACGTTGCTCAGCCTAGGAGACTTAGCATAAGAGCAACTTGTAATGGCTTATTGGTCCACCGCCTTCACGGCGCTAAATATTTATACGGTGGTAGATTTTTCTATTGCTGACGGATGTCCTTCCTCGACACTGTGGTAGCGGTAGAACATATACTGTGGTGTGTAGACGAGCTTTCCAAACACAAACTCATTGTCATGTTCATCACGAATCTCTTTTTGTCCGCCAATAGCTGCCTCATATGTTGGAGGAATACCTGAAGAGAAAAATCGATACCAAAATGGAACTTGTGACAAAAAGTGGTCATTCTCACATTGTATGTTGACACACAGGAGGCTCTCATAACTACACGGTATGGTGAGTGAGGATTATAGTGTTGAGTTAAAATCTACGAGGAAACAATGCTTTCCGTGTCCATAGCTGTGACATGTTTCCTTCACAAGAATGTGCAAAAAAGGTACCCCCAAAAAAGTGCATTTAAAGGCGGCGGGACGAGTGGAATCTTTTCCGCAGCGATCCTTTGAGAGAATAAAAGGCGCCCTCTGGTTTGAGTAGGCTCTGGAAGCTCAGGTTCCAGGGGAATAACTGTGTAATAGGATGGAGTAGTGTCATCTGGGTACATGTAGTTCCTTCGGGGGAAGAGGATTTTCAGTCCAGTGACCTTTTGGCGGTCAGCACACAGATTCGAAGGGAAACCCGTGCCTTCGAAGGCTTGCTACCATAGATACAGAAATAGAACAAAAAAACTAGATCCATAGATATCAAAAGAATAAACGGCTAGATCGGAAGTGGAAACGCACGCGCCAGGCATTGTGCATTGTGCACGCATTGTGCATGGGTGCGCTAAAAAAATCACGTAAATAGGGCAATGAACAATAGGCAAAACGCATGAAGAAATTGAAGTCAAGATAAAAGCTATACAAAAAGTCTACATTGCGCACTTTTTTGTGTTTTTGCATTTATTTATATGCAGCCGATATTGCCATTTAATATTTAAAATGCTAAGTACATGTGTGTCACGACATATATCGTAATATTCAAAATAGGGTCCAGTATAAATAATTATTACTTTGTCCTTTGTTTTTACACAAGGAAATGTACAAAGAAAAAATTTAAGGTTTGCCGTTCTTTTTCTCTACTAATATCGTAAAATATCATTCTGGACAAGAAACTTTGGCTCAAGAGCAATATAACTTTCTGTGTTTTATTGAATGCTGAACTTTTCTGCTCGGCATGAAATGTGAGCATTCATTATCGGAATTTTAGTTAGCAGTGTCACGACAATTTACCGCGGAGGTTTAAGTATGTCGGTCTATTACATGGCTAGAAGTGCACCGAAATTTGGGATCATTGCTGTACTCAATAAGGATTGCAGTGTGAATTCCTGTATTAACTCAATCTCACGATCTCACATTGGCTAAGCATTGTTTACAAGAATAAAATCACACCAGTAATATTAAGAAACACGAACTAGTTTCCATGATGTTGAGAATCAGAAAAAACAGACAGCTTAATGCATGACACTTAGACTGTACATGAACATGGAAGCTTTGCTGTACATGTACCATCTTTGCTGGAACAATGGCAAATTGCCACAATGGCAAATTTTCCACAATGGCAAATTGGTGCAGCACAGTTGACCACCATGATTTACTATGGAACTTTATTCAAATCACCACGGGAGAAGACGGGGACGAACGAAGCTTAGTCAAGTCAGTGGAGGCCATAGAGCTACACAAACTAGAGAGCAGACTCATATACAGAATGATGCCTGCTGGGCGCATCCTTGTTTGTGCATAAAAGTATGGAAAACTCGAAATTTTGTACGGCTTTTGTACGGCGATTCGGATATCTGCGTCTGTATTCTAAAACAACGCATCAACAAAGCCGACACACAAACATCCTGAACGGACAATCAGTAAATGAGCGTTTCATTTTGCTCTGCGCCCCCCCATGATAATAATAAAATAAAATATATATAAATTATATTGGATAGAGGCAGGCGGCTACATTCAGAGCTGACCACATAGTTTTACTACTATTTTGGGGGTATCCTCGGGGAATGGCTATTTAAAAAAATGTTCGTGGCTAACCCGCATAAAATTGAAATGAAAAGGGATCTTCTGGCCATAATCTTGAATTTCAAGTGAAAAAAGGAAGGCCAACCTCTTCCCGAGAGTCAACAGCCGGGCTATTTCGATCTGATTTCGCATTGTTTTCTATGGTCGCGTATTTGATGTAGTGGAGTGCAACCCTCTTACTACAGCCTCGACTCCAAGGGGCACAAGGTATGGTGGAAACCAACATGGCGCGGCAAGATCATGCACATGGGAACGAGGTTGCTATGACTAGATCGAACGCGCGTACAATACGCGCTGCCATTAGTCACGTGAATGAGGCTAAAAAGTTTGAATGCGCGAATGATTGGCGTGACGTAAAATATACAGAACGAAAATGTAAAATATATAAGACGAGGCACCATCTACCGACCGGTTCGCGGACGTCGCTCCTAATCATGATGCAGAGCTTTCTGAATTGTTCCGAAGCGATGCAGAGCTTTCTCAGTTGTTCTGAAATGTTAGGGCCACTCTGCAACGTTGCCGGTTGCTGCCAGGTCATGTCGATTGTGATTGACCACGTTGTTAACAGTAGGCCTCAAGCGCGAGCCAGAGGCCACTGCTTCCAGTGTTGGGCATTACATGAGTAACACTGGCACTAATGGCAGTAGGCCTAGGCCCATTGCCAGTGGATATAACATAAGCAGTAATTATATAACACCTAAGCTGATCCTTGTCATTTGATTGGAGGATTGTAGGTCCCGTGATATTTTATAAATAGACTATTTCATGGCTGACGTCAAGAAAGTTGAAATTTGTTATATTCACCGTGCATTTTTGATTATTATGTAGTTTGATAAACTATTACACGCAAAGGACTTCTATACATAATTGGTCAACAGAGGGCGCGAGTTATACCCATGATCACAAGGCGGCGTCAAATAACCATGATCACACGTAAAATAGCCTATAAAAATAGTTCAGTTCCAGAGTCAAAATGAAAATAATTATATTCTCATGAGGTAAATGAAATATTGTGCACATTGTTTTTTGTTTTAGCTTTAGAGAAACAAGTTGCCTATACAATATTGGGGAAAAATTGCAGCTCAGAAAATAAATTGTCCTCACACTCTTATCTTTCTTTGTTCTTGGCACGTGACGATGCATGAGTTGTTCCATGTTTGGTTTGTATAGGTAAGCAGGACGTAAGATCACTTCGTTTGTCTGGTTCACAGACGAGGGCCCGGGGTCCGAGTATTTGGCAGCATCCACAGCCAGTTCCCATAGAATCATGCGTAATATCAAGCCGCAGTCAACTGATTCGAACACGGCCTTCGCGTAAAGATACACGAATGACGTTATCTGATAAGAGTGCCCGACTAAAATGTATGGAGGCCAAGGGGGACTACTTCACCGTACATGTTACTCAGCCCCACCCATCAAAAACAAGTTAAAATTACGCGGTACCTGCCGATCAAGAAAGTTTGGCGGCTTTTGGAAATCGTTTTAGGCAAAATAAACAAAATTCTTTATTTTGCCGACGCGCAAGTGTACGGCGACGCGCACGGTGACCAGAAACCGGAGACATTTTTGGCTTTAGTTTGTTCTATATTTTTTTAGTTTCGTTCTATATTTCTTAGTTTGGTTCTACATTTTCTAGTTTTGTTCTATATTTTTAGTTTCGTTCTATATTTCTTAGTTTCGTTCTACATTTTCTAGTTTTGTTAAATTTTTTAGCTTTGTTCTATATTTTTTAGTTTTCTTCTATAGTTTTTAGTTTCGTACTATATTTCTTAGTTTCGTTCTATATTTTCTAGTGTTGTTCTATATTTTTTAGTTTTTTCTATATTTTTTAGTTTGTTCTATATTTTTTAGTTTCGTTCTACATTTTTTTAGTTTTGTTCTATATTTCTTAGTTTCGTTCTACATTTTCTAGTTTTGTTCAATTTTTTTTAGCTTTGTTCTATATTTTTTAGTTTCGTTCTACATTTTTTAGTTTCGTTCTATATTTCTTAGTTTCGTTCAATATTTCTTAGTTTCGTTCTATATTTTCTAGTGTTGTTCTATATTTTTTAGTTTTGTTCTATATTTTTTTAGTTTTGTTCTATATTTTTTAGTTTTGTTCTGCATTTTTTAGTTCCGTTCTATATTTCTTAGTTTCGTTCAATATTTCTTAGTTTCGTTCTATATTTTCTAGTGTTGTTCTATTTTTTAGTTTTGTTCTATATTTTTTTAGATTTGTTCTATATTTTTTAGTTTCGTTCTATATTTTTTCGTTTTGTTCTATATTTTTTAGTTTTGTTCTATATTTTTTAGTTTTGTTCTATATTTTTTAGTTTTGTTCTACATTTTTTAGTTTCGTTCTATATTTTTTAGTTTCGTTCTATATATATATTAGCACCATCCGACAAATATTAGTTTCGTCGTATTATTAGTGTTATCCTGTCACTTTCATCTTGTATGTGTTAGTTTCATCCTACATAAATTAGTTTCGTCCTATATATATATATTGGTTTTGTCTTATAAGTTATTTTAGTTCTCTATTTATTATTTTCGTCGTTTATGTATGAGTTTTGTCCTATATAAATCACCTTTCACCTTTAAATTTACTTTTGTCCCATATGTAGATTGGTTTCGTACTTTATGTATAGTTTCGTCCTATGTACTTCTTATATATTTGTTTCGTTTTTAATTATTTTCACTTTCGTCATATTAGTTTCGTCATGTTATTTTCGTTTTTAGGGGTACTAATAAAGGCACAAAAGGCGCCTCATACCAATCGCATTGTTTAACAGCTACACAGCAATCACTGAGTCGGTTTGTGTAAAGATCGAGATCGAGGCTCTGCATGCCTAAGGCGGGAGTATGGCGTGCAAAGTTAACATTTAATCTGCGTATTGAGATAGGCCCTATGTCTATTCTTAATAGCGATATCTCTATTAGAATATCTCTATGTTGACGACATGTTGAGCGTGTTCAGGAAGAAGCAAACTGAGCAGTCCGGGAAAGAAGTCATGAAGAAAATAACCGATCTGGTGAACACAGTACATCCAAGTAGCCTTTTGATGTACCGGAGAACTATGTGGATGAAAGCTTGCTGGTCCTAGATCTGACTGTCAGACTGAGAGAAGTAAAGGAAGACGATGCTGGTAAATGGGTAATACTCCACAGTCACTACATGAAACCGATGGCCAGCAAGTATTTCATTCACAAGAATAGTGCTGTAAGCCAAAAGAGAAGGATTAGGCCTAGTATTCTGGTCAACGATCTAGCCAAGTGAACAGGGTCATGAGGAGTATCTCAAGGAGAGAAAATATCCTCTCATGAGGAGAGAAAGCTGGACAAAAAGAAGAAAGAACACCAATGGTTCACTAAAAGGGGCAAGTTCGAGGTCGTCGTGTTTGTTGAAGCGACAACGGGAGGTGCTCTAGCCAAAAGGACCCGAAAAACGGTGAGGCAAGTAGGCCTTAAGATAAAGATTGTGGAAAAAGCAGGAAGTAGAGTAAAGGAAATCCCATCCAAATCCATTCCGAGGGGACAGATGCCTAGATGATGAGTGCACGGTGTGCCAACAGAGGCAGTGGAAAAGGACAGTCCAAACAGAGCGAGGTGATATTCCAGTTAGGGTGTAAAGAGAGAGACCTTGGAGAAACAGCAGGATCACTTGGTGAAGAGTTTAGAAACACGGAAGGGGGAAGTCATCGGCATTACACGAACCCATGCAAAAGAAGCACAAGGGGCAGTCTCGGGAAATTCAGGTAAAAATATTGAATAGGTGCCCTGGCGACGCGATGCTCAGACAAGTAATGAAATCAACACGTACTAACGAACTTTAACCGCAAATGAACAGAAAGGAGGAATGGACTGACAGTCATGGAGAGCTCAAGTATGCACAGTGGAAGAACCAGGTTACCATGGGATTGGAAGCCCACCGACGCGTGCCCGGGGGTACCGCAGATTGCGTTCGATTAGATTACACGTGTAAGTCAAACTTACACCAGTGCGTTCGTTTAGTCATCACGTGATCTTCTTGCGTGCTCTGGTATCAGCTACCACTACCCCAGCTGGCGAGCGGGTCTGTGGAGGCTGCCAGAGTGTAATGACGTCACGGATGGACTACTCGTGCATATGGACATGATGGAACTTGTCGGGGACTTGACCTTTTTCCCAGAATGCCTTGGCGAATACACTGCAGCATTCGATTCGCCTCATTTCAAGGCTTCCCTTGCGTGTAACACTGGTGTATTCAGGGAAGCTAATCGAACGCACCCAATGCGGCTCATCGAGGGAAACGCAACGCGCGTCGGATTGTTCTTCAGCGACAAATTCAAGCATTCGCACCTGACGAGGGGCGGAAGACGCCCGAAAATTCGTACGTAAGTAAGTTCCAACAGGGGGATATGGCTTTAAGAGAGATAAATAAGTTATCTATGAAAAAATCCAGAATAATCTCAGCATGCTCCACTTCAAACGCACATAAATTGCGCGCCTATGCGGTGCTTCGTGCCATCGATCTCATTTATAAAGACTGGATAGGACGTCGCGTCCAAAACGCGTCCCACGCACGTGTTTTTTTCAGGAGGGTAAAGAACGAACGCATAGATATGAAATAAATTTCTATATCTATGAACAAACGTTACGCACTGCTTTGTGTGCACTTTCAAATGGCGTTTTTAAAAACTGGATGAGTTTATTTTCTTTAAAACGGTAGTTTGTTCAGGAAATACTTAGTTGTGCACATGACAAAGATGAAACTGGAAACAATAATGGTTAAGGTTTGCGCGGCTGTTAATCTCCCAGGGAGAGATGGGAAACTTCGAAGAGAAAAAGAAATTTTCCCAAAGTGGTCAGTTTCTAGATCGCCAGTTCCCTCCCCCCTGCCTTCCCCACTGCTTCTTTCCAACACCTGACACACCTCACCAATCACTCCGTATTATACTGCGCTCATGCAGTCTCCAGCTTGATCTATAGAACTACATCTTTCATAACTCCACACTTCATTGTTCACAACCCCTCATTACCAACTTCTATAGCTGAAATTCCTTTAGGCGAAGAAACTGTCAAAACGTGGAGTCCTTAACCGAAGACGTAAGTTTCAGAACCCCAACAGCTTATTCGTCACAGTGATGTATCACTTCAAATGAACTTGATTATGTGCTTTTAAAATGAAATAAAGGCAACCATCAATATGTTCTTGGTGTCTAAGTATTTGTCTAAATAAGTTTTCAAGATAGTTGCGGGAAGAATGTTACGATAGCAATCCTTGACGCACCACGCATTTATTGTGAGTTACTGAAATCTTTGTCATTAGTTTATTTATAACAAGTTAATCAGAGCTGAGAATGACTCTGCATATGGTTGTATGTGGAAGTATTAACCAGGGTTAGAATTTCACCGCGACAGAATGTGATTCGCAAGAGTGTCTTTCTTGTGAAGTTCACCGTTAAACGTAAACTGGATGATTTGAATTCGCCTGGCAATTGAGGGCCTACAACCACGGGACTGGAAGTTACTACTAAAATCCTGCTATCTGAAAACGACAAGTTGTGTTGAGTTCCGTACCGCGATTTAACGATAGCATTTAATAGCAATGCGACACTATACTGTCTCATACCTGCAGAAGAAGTTGGTTGGTTTGATGATGCATTCCAATAAGTGTGACCAGATAATGGGATAGTTCCAATCACGATCTCCAGCATTAAATCCACGTCAAATGGAGTGCTTGCAACATCAGCGGTGAACTAGAACAAAATCCACGTGGAATCATTTAACAGTATTCCTTTTACATCTCATTCTTATTCACTTTAATATCAAACAAAATAACACAAAATAAAAACAGTATTTTGGTGATTTCATGTGGTTTTTGAAGGTATCTTTTGTGGGGGGTGTTTGTTTGTTTGTTTGCTTGTTTTGATTTCCAACGTCTGGAACAATTGTGCAAAACAGATGCAAAATTAATTCTTGTACTTATTTAAATATCATAAGGTTTTAAGTTGCGCTGGGAAAATGAACGTATACAGCGACAGCCTATGAAATGTGCCATACTTATAGTACTCATTGCTAAGGAGAAATTACCTTCACATAGTATCTTATGTCAATAAAGTTGCAACCTTCAAGATTGCAGGGCGGTAGAGGTGGTATGATCATAGGCTTTCTGTCCCAATGTGCCGAAGCGTAAGATCCGCAAGCCTCGGATACAACGCTGGTGACAACGTGAGATGTAGTGCGATAACTAGGTGAACCCACACCATCTCGTCTTGCATAGTAATTGACTGACTGCAAGTTGGATTGAATTAGAATAATTAATTGTTTGTTAATTTTTGAATGAAGAATAAGTATGTACTTTGAGCGTAAATTTAGAAAACTTAATCTACACCTATTTGTTCTTTCGAGATCTAAAATATTAAATTAAGTATTAATTAAAAGTATTAAATAAAAGTATTAAATTATGTGCCTAGACCTGCCACAATTTCAGTCTTTTCAAAGATTTCTTTAAACAGCGGAAACCAATAGCCACTTTAGTTTGTGCACTCAGTAGGCAAGATTCAATCGACGGAACCCTTATCCACGTGGAGAATCGTTTTCCTAACACTAAGAGCAACTTAATTGAGATACGTTTCAAAGTCAAACATTCAGCGGTATGTATTGTGTTGAAAGATAATGTCTAGGCACCGTTGCAGTGTACATCAGCTCTATGGCACAGAGCCCTCTCTATGGTAACACCATAGAGCTACGCATGTATAACACATTGTAGACTGATGAGACTGCTGCTACGGAGCGAGGTAGCTGGACATTACAAGAAACAAATCATTGTCCTTCATTTTCGTCGTGAGACAATGCAAAAAAAGGACTGTTGTAATCCATAGATAGTGTACAGCACCTTAAGGCGGTATTTTGTGGTCCATTTTGCTTTTCAAACAAGGACGCATAGATTTGAATAGCTTAGTGGTAAGGATAAAACCATATATGTTACTGTTTATGCAGATATACTTAGCCCCACTTTTGCCCTCTTTTCGATAAATACTTAGCCCCACTTTTGCCCTCTTTTCGACCTTTCTAATGAGATTTTACGTGGAATTTAAACATTCATTTTCTATCTTGTCTAACCTTACGATTCTTTTTACATTGGCACGGGGAGATGATCCTGCAGACAGCCCCCTGACAAAGATGGGGGTATCATAACCCTGATTCATCTTAGATCTGCACTCTTCAGTGATCCTGAGGATCAACATGTTAAACATCTCAAATCATTTATTCATCTATTAGTTAATGTGTTGTATTGTAATTGTTTGACAGTACCTGAATCAGCTCAGCTTCGAGTGAATGGACGCTTCGGTTGCTCCTGTTGTCCAAAGAAGCAGAAATGTAAATTGTTTCTCCTGGAAGATATGCTCTTTTGTCGGTGCTTGCACTCACGGAGACTGGTCCAGTTGCACAACACAGGCAACACACTGTTTTCTCGTCCTCATTATACACTGGCGCCTACAAAATAACATCATTTGAAAACAGATTTAATGGGATTTATATATCATATATCACATTAACACGTTTCTTAATTGGAATGTGTAACATTTTGATAAAAATAGCAATTCAGTCAAACTTAGACAATGGAGTCATTAAGGGTGTTCTGAAATTGGGCGTGTCCTCAGTGTTTGGGGGGTACATAACTTTCGCTCTTAGACCGATGTAAATTGAAAAGGGTGTCACATAACATTTCCGAGAGTTATGCTGTTTTTACTCTGGCAAAGATCACTGTAAAAACGCAAGGCAACATGCTAATGAGGGAGACATTGCCTCTCACTGTCCATCACTGTTATCCGCGGATATTCGAATCCCACATCAGCGACACGTTGATTGGGCATTAGGTCTCCTCGGGATTACGTGGGTTTCCTTGTGTTATTTATCCATTGTCTTTTTCCCACCTCTAACAGTTGTTCACTGCCCGTGTACAGGTTTATCCAGGCTTAAGGGCTCTAGTCACTGCCAGAATATAGTGTTACGCTAGTGCCTATATACATTTTCCAAAACGCATCGCACCTGCACTTATCTGGCATTATTACAATCCGATTATATTTTGCCAATTCCCGAGAGACTCACCCTGTATTATTCGTTGGTTGTAACGCAATCCAACCACCCTTTGAAGCTAACAGAGTTGTCCTCATTAGGTTTTCAATGTTCGAAGAGTAGCACCCTTTTCAAGTTGAGGAATGGCTTTCTATGTGTGCCCCTCGCTCAAGTGCTGAGTTGTCTTTCGCTTTTTTGTGTGTGTTTGTCTCGCAATCTGATGACATCGTTCGTATACACGCCCGTATAGTTATAGTGCTTACCGTTGGTTTATCGCGTCTTCGATCCAAAGGAAATATGTCTTCCCGTCGTCTACGATTTTCCATGGCTCCAGTTACCCCCTCCAGACCCCTAGATGAACCTCCATCGTCTATGGATATTTTAGCTTTCGCTACTAGACAGATTAGCGAATTGGAAGGACCTAGCAGTCAGGGTGAAGGGTCGTCATGCCCGAAGCCCATGATTGACCGCCATGCCTCAGCATCGTTATGGGCTGATGGCAGTTCAGGTGGAGGGTCGTCATGCCCGAAAGCTAATGCAGGCTCCATTCAAGGTCCAAAGTCGACTTCATCCAGCGACGCATCCCAACCAATATTACCTCAACTAGCTGCCGTTTCTGTCCAAGCCGGATCGGAGCCTATACCATCGACACCATCAATCGGCACCGCTAACTCTCGGGGCCCGTCGGGCCAGCTGCTGCAGAAAACCCGGCTGGTTATGCTTCAGTCTGGTCACAGCCACAAACATTTTTTAATCCAGCCACGCCCTGGAACCAGGGCCTCTGGGGTAATCCTCAGTTGCCCACGGCTACAAACTGGCGACCTCTACCATCATCCCATGGGCTTTGCCTCCCCAGTGGTTTCCAGCAATGTTTCAATGTAAAGTCCCTATTACTAGAGTCCAGTCGAGTCATCACGCAACTATTTTTGACCTAGAGGTGCAGAAGGTGCTGGAGAAAAGAGCTATAACTGTTGAACAATCAACTGAATGTCAGTTTCTATCTTCATTGTTTTTGATACCTAAGAAAACCAGGGATCTTCGTCCTGTCGTCAACCTCCGACCTATTAAATAAGTTCATACCATATCAACACTTAAAAATGGAGAACATCAGAGCAGTCAAACATCTGTTAATTCCGCACGACTGGTTGACGACCATCGATCTCAAGGATGCTTACTTTACTGTGCCAATCCATCACACTCACAGCAAGTTCCTCCGTTTCTGTTGGAAACAAGTCATTCACCAGTTTTCTTACCTATCCTTTAGCCTTTGCAGTGCTCCAAGGACATTTACCAAAATCCTGAAATCAGTTACATCGGTACAACGGGAGGGAGGGATTCGTTGAGTCTTTTATTTGGACGACATTCTCATCATGGGAACTTCAGCCCAGAATTGTTTGCACAGCACCAATACCGCAGTCAAACTGCTCCAGGACTTTGGATTCATTATAAACATGGAGAAATCCAAGCTTATACCAACGCAGGAAGTCGAGCACCTGGAATTTGATTTAAATTCCAAGAACATGACTCTTTCCCTGAATCAGCCTAAGATAAACAGGATCGTCACCCACTGCACAGAGGTTTTGTCAGCACGCACAACCTTAGTCTGCGATCACGCCAGCTTGATCGGGAAGATGCCAGCGACCGTGCAGGCAGTGTTTCCATCCCCGTTGTTCTATTGGCACCTTCAGATAGACAAGATAGCGTCCCTGCGGGAATACTGCAGCTACGAGACAGAAGTCTCCCTGTCAGAGGAGGCAAGAGACGAACTAAGTGCATGGACGCAATTCCTAGAAGCATGGAACGGCCGGGCGATCGTTCAGCAGACTCCAGTTCTGACGATTCAGGCAGATGCATCATTGAGTGGTTGGGAAGCCTGCTTCGAACATCAACGAGTCGGGGGATTGCTGGACATTTCAGGAAAAGATCAATAACATCAATTATTTCGAGCTGTTGGCAGTCTGTCTTGCGCTCAGAACACTGTTGTGAGGTTGCCAAGATTTGCATGAGCGGCCACAGATGGACAGCTTCACGGCCATCTCTTACCACAAGTGTAGAAAGTGCTCGATGAACCTTGTTCACCTTGCACTTACGATTTGGTTAAACATCTCCAGAGTGGTATCATTCTGACGGCAGAACACTTACTGAGCTCCATGAATGTCAAAGCAGACAATTTATCCCATGTATTCAACGAGTGGGCAGAACGCCAACTAACAACACACTGATATTTCGTAAAATTCCCAGGAGACTGAATTTTTCCCCAGACGTCGACCTATTTGCAACTCGACTCAGTACCTAACTCCAGACCTTCGTGTCATGGCAGCCAGAACCCATGGCATGAAGATTAGATCTCTATTTCTGAACTGGAAGGAGATAAAGGCTTACGCTTTTCTACCGTAGCGAGGAGCAGGCCACGATTGTGCTCATTGCCCGTGTTTGGCGCACACAGATCTGGTACCCCATGCTTCTCGAGATGGCTGTCCAAAATCCCGTCATTTTGCTAAAGAAATGGAATCTTCTTCAATTACCTCATAACAGAACACTAATCCACCCACTTGCAGATCAAATGTTCTTAGCCGCATGGAAGCTATCAGAGAAAATCTGCCTTCAGAGGGAATTTCGCTGTCAGTGTCCTTCACAGTCATGTCATCTTGGAGGGAGCAGTCCAAAAATCATTGATTTAGCTTGGAATCGACGGGCCTGCTGGCGTCTTCTGAGGCAAGCAGACCCTGTTCGAGTCCCTGTAGCAGTATGTTCATCTTTTCTTCAACATATGTTAGATTCAGGGTTGCTATACAGAACTGTCAATATATATAGACGGGCAATCTCCTCAGCACACGTCTTTGTAGACGGAGTATCAGTTGGGCAACATCATATAGTTAAAGGGCGTCTTAAATCTGCGTCCTCTACAGCCCCGGCATAATTTTACATGAAATGTGGCAACTGTGTTGAAATATTTCAAGTCTTTATTTGGCAATCGTCAGTTATCAATCAGACAGTTAAACTATAAATTAGTCATGCTTATTGCACTTATTACGGCCAGTCGCTGTTCATCACTGACAGCAGTGAGTCAGGAATCGGCGAAATATACTTCCCCAATTATGTAAAATGAATGTCTGCAATGTAATTATATAAGACAATAGAGGCACAATTTGTGTGTGCATTTCTGCAGGCATTTTCAACCCTCCCGATAAAGTGGGTCGCAGGTCACCGCCGCCAGTCAATATTGCTCATCAAGCTTCTAAAAGACAGCCCAGCATTTAAGCGAGGGGCACACATAGAAAGCCATTCTTCAACTTTGAAAAGAGCGCCATTTTCCAAAATTTGAATACCAAATGAGGACTACTCCATTGGCTCCAAAGGGCGGTTAGATTGTAATACATGTACAACGAACGAATGTACAGTGTGAGTCTCTCCTCCATTATCTTTTATAATTCCAATTATATTACAGGTATAAGAACTTTACATGATTGGGGAATTTTATGAGACAGTTTATGGAACTATTTGTTTTCCAAAACTTTATAATGACCCTTACCAGAGGATTCTGCACTTTATTTAAATCATAGGGTATTCCTGATACAGTGAAAGCTCTCTTTGTGACATGATCAAACGTCCAAGGTCGATCAATAACAGCACGTGCAAAGTAGCGGACGTATCCCAAGGTTCCTTCAAAAGAACACGGCAGCGGTCTTGTTGGAAGCTGAAACTTAAATGGCAGACAGTGTTGACCGGCAGGTAATTCCAACCGAGATTCGTCGGTGTCTGTTCTCTCTGGAGAAGAAAACAGGGATATTCATGCATTAAGAGTCAGTCAAAATGACTACTATATACGGAAGCGTATAAGGGCCACCTGTACAAAAAACCCCGATTTTTTTGAGTTACTATCTCTGCTTGGCAAAATACAAATTGACTATGTCGCCACGGCGATATAAAGTATCTCGCTATGGCAAGTTAAATAGTTGAACGTGTATCTTGACGTAGCAAGTTAGGCCTATACGATCTTGCCGCAGCTTCAAATTGATATCCCGCCGCGGCGACAATAGTTTCATAGCCCTAAAATCCTATATAGCGGGTCGTATTATCACGGTTGAATGCAGTAAGATTGTGTCTTAGATTGCTTCATACAAAAAGAAGTCTCGTTTTTCGGTGTGAATTCCCATATTCGGAAGTAAGGTAGACTGTTGAAAGGATTATGGTGCATTTTCATTTATACTTACAAATAATCCTATATAATTAAGCGCTGCGGGGGGACCCTGAAAAAAATGGGGAAAAGAGAAAACAGCCAAAGAAATGAAAAATAGAAATGATATGGTATGAAACTATCAATTTGCTTGAGAAAAAGGGAGTGGACTCCCCTCCCGCTGTTAATGGTTTTGTAGGTTGATGTCCCCCCCCCACCGCCGGAAAAATTCCTGGCGACGCCCATGCCCATTTTTAGCCAGTGTGTGGTGCCATTTCATATCATACTAAGCCTCGATAGTTATACATGAATTTGGAGATTTCAATGGGCAAAAAACAAAAATGAAAAAAAGTGAAAGGGACAAAAACACGCACTTTTTCATCAAATGGATTGCAATCCCAAGGCTCTTTGATCTCACATCCATACGTTCACTCGACACAAACCACCCACACAGCCCAGGGTGCTGAGAAGGGAAATATGTCGAGTGCTTATTGAAATAGACTTCGATTTAACATTTTGAACAAGGGTCGACACTTCTCGGTACGCATAACACGTGAGAACTTAACGTGTAATCGGGATGAAACGAAGTAACCCCAAAATGCTTTGCACGTCCGTCGCTATGAGGTATTTCATGCCTTGCATTTGTAAAAGTGCTGTGTTTGTTATCCATTTTATATGTGTAGGTTTCCCGGCCGTATTATCATCCACACGAATTAGCGACAGTTTCAGTCAAATTAGATTGATGATATATCAACATTCAAAGAGGAAACTTGATCATTCAATTTCATTCTAAGAGCATGCGACTGCACAATTTTCTTATTCGAACAGTGAATGGTCAGCACTCAAAATGGACAAAAAAGTGCAAAAAGCGTTCGCATTTGCGTGGACACTCCCGCCGTATGTGTTTCGGCGTTCAATTTCATGAATCGATCAGCAAGCGTTTGTCAGATTCATTCAATGTTATTCATCGAATATTAAATCTTTTAAGTTTTTTCTCTGTGACTAATTTATGCATACTATTTCATGAAGGGAAACGTTTCGTTCATGGGTAGAGATCTCTATAAAAATGCCGTTGAAGGAAGAGCTTGTGAACAAACGTCGAAACATACACCGCGGTCGTGTAATTGAGGGCAGTGAATAACCTCCAAAGCAAGATCAGTAATAACAACCTATATTGAAATGGGAAAAACTGAAAAACTTCCTAATGGTGGGGCACATCACTCAAAGATGGACGAAGAGATGAAGAACCATCTTCAAGACATTGTCGAGACGAACCCGCTCCAAACTCTCCACCAAATGAAGGAGATTTCACAGAGAACCTCCCTCAAAATCCTGAGGTTTCTACGTCCACCATAGCGAGGGAATTGGATGGTATGCTGATGACTCTGAAGATTGCAGAAGATGTACCTGACGCTACGAATTCCCCCCGTGTGTTCCTGCAGCGGGTGGTATAGGTAGAATGGTTTCTACAGCATGGGAACTGCGTTTTTATAGATGAAACTGGTTACAATATCTGCACAAGACGCAACCATCGCAAGGCTCCACGAGGTACCGGTATGCTGGAGAGGAGATTAGTGCACGGGCACCGAGGGCCCAACGGCCTATAGTGCACCATCAGAGTACTTTCGAGACTGACCAGCTGAGGTAGACATTCGAAGAGTTCCTCGCTGACACAGTAGCAGAATGTGATGTATTGTTGCCTAGGGATGACCCCATATACCTTATTTACGACAACGCCAAGGCTTACGTGAAAGCCCAGCTTTCTGATGGAGTCAACCCAAACATTGAAGCTAAGCTCCTTCAACCTTATTCACCATTTCTTAACATGACAGAGATGTCTCACTTGGCCTTCAAGGCTGCAGTAAAGAGGACTTTGGGGCTACCGACGTGGTAGAATCGAGTTGGGAACAGGTAGGCAGCTCTCAGCTAGCTAATGTCAACCTGCAACAGTAGAGATGCGACCTCCTGAGAAAAGTGGCAGAGCAGAACATTGACGCGAAGTTGAAAACTTCTGTTAAATAACAGTCGATACTATTGTCAATTGGCATTACAGAAGTTGCTGGTTTGGGACAGCACATTCTACTGCCAATTTTTCTCTGTTTACTAACAGGAGATTCTTATGGAAGTGTATTTAGAACATCGGAAGAAAAAAAATTATTTGTACGTACGGATTACTATTTCGTACGTACGGATTACTGAACGTGCGTATGGATTACTGAACTGTATTTATGGATTAGTAATCCACATGTTGCATTGCATGACTAGCGGAACCAAGAGAAGGTGGGATTTCCAGCGGCGTAGCCAGGATTCTGAGAAGGGGGGGGGCTTCACTGTAAAGGGGGATGGGGGTTGACTCTACTTTGCTGGTTCCCGAATGACAATGAGATAGGCTACATGCGTTGTGTACGCGTCCGGCCCTACCAACAAAACTACATGGCTCTCTTCTACCGATGAGGGGACGCTTCTCCTCAAGACGGAATTTGGAATGCGACCAGTGCCTAGGATTATTATTTACAAAACCGTACGTACGAAGTAGTATGTACGAAATAATAATCCGTAAGTTTTAAATCATAATCCGCATGTACGAATTAATTTTTTTCTTGCCGTGTCCTAAGAATCTCCTTATAGAGAGAAAATTGACAGTAGAGTGCAGAATTTACTAATTTACTAATTCGTATTTTGCTTCTGTTTAAAGTGTTATGAAAACAATGAATTTGAGCGAAGTAAAAGCCTTTATCAGAACTGGAAAAAAGTGGGGAAATGTCTAAAAAGGATGAGAACAATAGAATGAAACACGAAAGCAAAAACAGTACTTTAAAAATGTGACAAAAAAAAGAAAAGAAGGCACTGTTTAAGAGAATCCAAAAAATCTTAGCATACATGCTCATTTTACAGAGAGATATTGTGTTTCTTGTGTATAAAATAAAGAAATTGCAAATCAGTAAACTGCATCTAAAGGATTTTTCTTTCAGCATCCGTGATGAAGGTCCAGGGAGAGTTTCATTTTTACATTTTATTTAAACGGGCAATCAGTATGGGAGCAAATGCAGTGTTGTAGCCAAGACCTTGATGTCCGAGACCAAGACCAAAACCGAGACCAAACATTAAAATTTGATACCTTTTATACAAAGGTAAATGAGGACATGCAGCATGAGATGATGAAATTATACCGAATGAATAAAATAAAACACTAACATACAACACTCCATCAAACATAAATAGATTAAATATTTCTTCAAGACTTGACACGTTTTATTTTACCTCTGAGAAATACAATGTAGTTGTGATGAGCTGCAGACTTTTGATATATATGTCAATACCATTAGCACGTCTATGGTAATTATAACCGTGAGCTCCCGAGCCTATTTTCATTTAAATTCCGCTGAGATGTATTACATATTTATACGTTTCATACAAACCTATTGGGCATGATATGTCCAGTACCACAGTAGGCCTATGAAGTGTTAATCCTGAATGTCAGAGTTAACCAGTGATACTATTTTAATGATCACTGGACTGGTTAGAAAGGTCAGCCAAATTACCCACTGGTATGTGTGAAATCGTCATGTTAGACCTGAGTGACCCCACTGATGTAAACATTAAAACAAAAAATTAAGAAAAAGTAAGTATCCAAATAAGATCTGGTATAGTAGATGTACGTGTATCTAGTACATGTATGTACATGTACACTGAGCAACAATGGGCGGATGTGTGCTAGTGAAATAAATGGCTCATTGCATACAATAGTTCCAGTGCTTCCAACCTCATCTCCGTCGTGTTGAGCAATACTTTCCGGTGTTGGAAATACTGCATACTGCTTGACTAGTCTCCATTCGAGCATCAATTTCATTCTACATCTTGGAAATCTGAACATTACGGGGTCGTATTTACATCCATGTTTGGAAACTACACTCGTGTGGAGGTCAGCCGGTGGGTGGGTTCATGAGTGATAGCTAGGTACACATTTTGATGTGGTCTCGATATATCTCGGGGGGAGACCTGAGACTTTGACATCAGACACCGGGACCAAGACCAAGACCAGCACTTTCGAGACCGAGACCAACCCTCCTGAGACCGAGACTTTGATACGACGAGACCAAGACCGAGACTTAATATGTAATTTGTTTTAGATATATAAAAAATAAACACTCACAAGACAATACGTGGGACACGCTTCTGGCGTGTTTTCTATTTGTGATCCCCTTTTCTGTTCTATCCTCATCTTCATTTGCCGTATATTTCTCTTACCTTGAAGTGTTCCAGTTTGAAGGCCCAAAATGCGAACATGATTGTCTATAGACGAAAACGAAAAAAACTTTTGGGAGGAATTTCCATTCCAGTCACCCAACGCGAAATCGAATGACGGTTATGCACCGTTGAATAATTGAATGAAATTAGTTCTAAATTGAATTTGTTACAGTACACTATTGGAAGTCTGTAAACGAATTTGAAGACTCTACCGTATGAAAAAAAACATGGGAGCAACCTGCTGAAAAAATCCTTCGAATACGAATGAACAATAATGAATTTGACTGTGAAGATGACGAATTCGGCCGGGAAGACCTACACTATCAATTAATAAATTTCGACTGTTCAAATGCTACAAACGCAAATGGTACTCGTTTTAATGTTGTTTGACACTTGCAAAATGTAGGAAGGAATTTAAAACAGTCTACCCCTCATCTAAATGTGGAAATTCATACTCAAGATTTACATTTCTTTTGTTTTGTTTGTTGTTGTTTTATGGAAACCCAGCTTTGGTGAAATGTAACATCTCCTTTTGTTCAAGCAATCTAAAGCCAAACCTCACTGAATTCCACACTGAGGACACATTTGAAATCAGTGGCACACTAAATAGGACTTATGAAACTATTGAAATATTTACGGCGGTGGGATATCAATTTCACACCGTGGTCTTAATTTAACTTGCCGCGGCGAGATACTAAATCGCCGCGGCAAGATAGTATTTCTTTGCGGTGAGAAAGTATTTCGCCGCGTATTTCAGTATTTCAGCACGCCCAGGTAGTAACTCGGAAAAAAATTGTAAGTGTCCCTTATACGCTTCCGTAGACTACAACTCCACAGAAGAGGTAACATCATACGGTCGACACCATAAGTTATTCTGCAGACAAAGTTCTTTCTTTGTTGCTTACGTGCAGTATAACATATACCCAAACCTGTATCGGGAACTCGATAATTAGGCTGTAGGCCTACTCGTTTATGCACTCACAAAGATAAATCCAAATTCAAGTTGGAATGGGCAATTATCCCTTTAACAAATTTTGAAGGGACTGGAGATGTACGGTTGAAAAGAAAAACTCATCAATTCACGTGTTATTGCACTTGTGGATGACACTACGTCATTCAGCAGTGAGAAATTAGACATTCGAAAGCCAAGTGTTTGTGCATGCGAGAGTTACAAATGTATTCCATTTGGCGCGCTGACTGTCAAATTTCCCCCTTTAAAATTGCCTTTCCTTTATGACCTCTCGACAGAGCACTATTTTCCAATAAACTTTGCCACAGCAGTTAATAGGGAGAGTTGTGACATGTTTCGATTGTAGGAACCAACATAAGAATAATGATAGTGATTTATTTTTAATATAGCATATTACTTTAATAAACGCAAATGCACAAAATTTCAATGCGCTTTACAGATTAAAACAGCAGGAAATATGATTATATAAAATACAGTACAATTAACCCACTAATAGGGGCACAAATAGCTATAATATGATATGGGTAATAAAATAAAAGAGGTTTCACTGTCATCATACCCTTTCCCCAAATTGTGATGTACTGGTCGAAGTAATCTTCTCCAGCTACATACAAGACGGTAACTTTAGATTTGCCTCGAGGTTCGATTTCCGTCCATGTAACAACTGCTCTACCTTTCCAGTGCATGTAGATTCCTGTGAATGTTAAAAGGTTTAAAGAGAATGATAAGTCGAAGAAAGTGTAACATTTTCTTGTCCAATCCTGCAATGAATGGGAATCTGCACAACCAATGCCGGCCCCACATACACTGTACATCACAGAAAATTACTGGATCCGATTAATTTCCGTTTATAAACACTACGATAACAAACATAACATGGTTTACACAACTGGTCCCTTTAGATTTACATAAAGTCAAAAGAACACATGACAAAGCAAATAAACAGGAAAAGTGCAAGAATCACGGCATAGTAAAATAATATGAAAACTTTAATTTCAAAATAAGATTAAGCCCTATCCTCAATGTCATCATTATAGTATGGTTTTACACAACCACAGGCCTTCTTATTCACTTCTGTAAAATGCTAGACGGGGTAGGCCTTCGAATGGCTCTCAGAGGAAATGGCCGTTATAAATGCTGTGTTAGTTTTTTCATTAATGATTATAATTAATTGATAACAGAAACAATGAAAAGTTTAAATAAAAACAGGAGGCATTTACGCGGTATATCGAATCTAATTTGAGAGTCACGACCTTAGGAGTGATAAATCTGAGAGTCACAACTGCAAAATACGCTTCACCATTAATAATCCTAAGTTGAAAACAAAACACTGAGATCGTCAGAGCTATGCTTCTGTGTGTATACGAGTATACAGAACTGAAACAATAAGTTTAGGAGCAGTGCAAATTTGAACTTCGTTACTGATGACGTCATTGTTTTACCAACAGTTACAATTCAAGCAGAAACAGACTACGGTGTTCTGGAAGTGCCATCTGACTTGTTTGAGATCCTAACATATTTTTTCTTGGGATGACAATATCATAGAGGCAAGATGTCGACATCGTGAGATAAATTATCACAAAATGACGGCATCCTAAAAGTTGGATGACGACGTCCCGAGATAACTATCACGGGATGGCGACTTCGTAAGAGTGGAATAATTGCATTATTTGTCAATGGGTGCAATGACAAACCATCTTGAAAACGCACAGGTGGCCTGAGATGCTATTGTGTTTTTAAATAAAGCACTGTCTTCCCATTGCCATACATGATATTATGTGGATTGATAAAAAGTCATGATGTCTCGCCGCCTGTTACTAGTTGTGAAGTAGACATCAGCCTTGTTAAATATCTCTGGATGATAATATCCAGGGATAATGATTATCTCAAGATGTCGTCATCCAACATTTATGATGTCGTTATCCCATGATAATTTATCTGTGATTTTGGTTGAGAAATTAGATCATATTGACTATTGACTTTTTGTGACGTTACAGTAACGTTACGAGTTTTAACGCAAGAGATTACTGTGGTAAAAAACGGAATATAAAAGTTAGCATTTAACGAAGAGATTTTTGACGTCATCAGTCTGTATGTGGAATAAACCCCTTAATTAAATAATTATGAACGAAATGCATAATAGGGGTGGTTTCCTGTGGAGTGAACGATCGGAATACGCAATCTAGACGGTTTACGACAGTTTAAGTTTAGCACGTTTAAGCAACACCTCGCATTGATAGCAACTGTGTGAAAAAGACCATTTTGAAAATACAAGAGGCTAAAAGATTGAAATTTCTACTCATTAAATGTCATTTGTGACATGTAATACGTCCTATACGAAGGCCTTAAGTAAGCACTGGGCTTTAATCTTTTTCAGCACCATTTTGCCGAAAGACACAAATGAAACACCCCTTTGCATACCACAGGGTGCAGACCACTAATTAAAGTGAGAATTTCCGGGCCAGCTCATTAGCATTTAAAGTGCCCCACAGTATATTTTGAAAAAGCAATTGTTGACCAATAGCTACTCCGACATGTCGACCTCCGATGCTAGCGATGCCAGCGGTAGGCCGGCCTATGGACGACAGTGAAGATGGCGGCAGCAGCGAAGCCCGATTATCGGCGCAGGCGAAGCAAAGCTGGACCTTCATGGCGAAAATACGTGAAGACAGCACCCAAATTTAAAGGTTAACAGTCTAATGAAGATTTCCTTCATTTCCGCAATTTCCCACATCAGTGTTCGAAACAATGCATAGTTAGCTTCTGGTGTAGTTCATGGATGTCAATCCCGAGGGGTGGGAACTTACACCCCCCCAAAAAAAATTAAAGGCTTGCCTAAGACGCAATGTTTGCAAAGCATTATGGGTTTGGATGACATGAAAGAGGCCAGCCCTTTGAGAGAAGTACCTGCAAAACGTTAATGTATTTCCATTTTGTTCCATACTCCAATTCATGCCACCCTCTTCTGACAATGTTCCATTATTGATTTGGGATGTAGATACATGTATTCATAAACTTGTCAATATAAAGTTGGCAAAAAAAGAAAAGCTTGGGAAATCCCTTCCAACCACACAATTGTTTTTGCCATGGACTGTGCTTTGACTAGGAATGTGAATATAAATGCTCCAGTATAGTCTAATCGAATCATGACTTCAATGTAGCTCATTCATCCCGCGTTGACCAGTCACATCTAATTTCAGCCTGCACAGTGACTGGTGTCCTAACAAATACAGTTAAGGGGGATTTCTTCTTCTTGCAAACGTGTTGAAAAACACTTGTTTTTTTTTAGAGCTGTTACCTATATATTACACATCTAATGATCGGCCAGAATAATCCGGGTGATTGTAAGTCAGCAGCAGTAGTAGGTACAACCCTGATGCCATACATGTTCCTTAGCAACCTCATGGGTTTTTCTTGTTTCTCTCACAGGCCACTGTGACACTGGAGCAACACATTCTGAGGAATGGACAGACTTCATGCCAGTACAGATCCTCCAGTTATGTTTCTCGTAAGTGGTGTGGGAGCTACTGGTCACTGAAACCAATCGTTATGCTGAGCACAGCATAACGGAGAGGTCACCGGGCCACCAAGTCGTTCGTCTCCAACAACCATTCTAGAAATGGTGGCCTTTGTAGCATTGCTGTATGGGTATCAACAAGCGGCCTCACCGTACTGGAGCAACTGGGACATGTACACAGTGCCATCTATCCGACAACCACGTCTCGCAACAGATTTATGGCAATTCTCAAATTCTTCCATCTGAATAAACAACCAAGCAGCTCCAAATATGTACACTACTCCTGACAAGCTAAAAAAAGTCCGCTAATTCGTTTAGACAATAGTACCCTCGTTTCTTCGTAATTACATACCTAGCCAAACCTTGCTCCTGACGAGACCATGATCAAATTCAAGGGAAGTATCATTCAAACAGTATATGCCAAGAAAGCCAACCAAATGGGACATCAAGTGTTTCTCCTTGAACGAATCTGAAACGGGGTGTTACAACTGATAATGTAGTAACCAACGTATAATGTATCACCAACCGATAATGTACCAAAAATTGCCGATAGTGTAGTAAACTTTCTAACCGATAATGTATCACGTGTCGACGGAAAATGCAGTAGCAAAAATACTCTAACCGATAATGTGTCACCACAGAACTGATGATGTATCAACGGATAATGTATCAAACTGTTATGTCATTAGACTGGCAGTTGCTATGGGGACAGTTTTTAAATACTCGTTTCGATCGAGTTGTATGATCCCTAGTTGTATGGAAATCAATGATTTCTTCCTCCATGTTTGGGCCTTGTCCCATTACTATGTTCATACAATGTTCAGCTTCCGCCTCCGAGTGCTGTGACGTCATCAAACCGAACGTTTGGCGGATCCAAGATTTTGTCTTGGGTTGGGGAGGGCGGCCGCTGTACTCAATGGGCGGCAAATTACATGAACAAATGGCGACAAACCCAGATCGGTGAACTTTTTTCCCTAAAACGGTGTCATATAACAATTATCCACACCTGATTATATAGCCAAGTTAAAGAAAAATTGGTAGCTGGATTTGGTCGTTTTATATGGTCGTTATCAAGGGCGGATCAAGAACACCCCCCCCCATTTTTCCGGGGGGTGGCATTGATAGGCACATCATTTTGGCGTTGGTAGATGTTGGAGAAGTGATGTGACACAAACGTAGGTCTTATGATCACAAGCTATTTTGAAATGTTGCAAAATATGTCCCACAAGTGGAACCCCTTATTTGGACACTACATGTAGTTTTAATTACTTCTTCACAATTGCAGTTTTCTCTTCCAGCGTTCTGTCACGTATTGGAACATCATAGTTCCCTTCGACCAGTCATTCCTGTACTGTACATCTGACAGGGGTTGTTTTCCATGCCCATCGCGAAACAGTGCCAACCTGACAAGAAATATCGCGGACACGACATATCGGGAACATACGGAAGCGTATAAGGACCACTTGCAATTTTTTCGAGTTTCTCGCTGCGGTGAGTTAAATGAGTTTAATAGTTGAGTGTGTATCTCGCCGCAGCGGGCTGCAAGATCTTGCGAATATTTCTATAGTTTCATAAGTCCTATTCAGGGCGCCGTTTTCAAATGTACATTTAGGATGACATGCATTGAGATTTGCTTTTAGATTGCTAATTGGAACAGCAGTGGATGCTACATTTCCACTATACTAGATAGCCAAAACAAAATAAATCTCTTTTGGGGCTATGAATTTCCATATCCGCAAGTGGGGTAGACTACTTTGACTCATTGGTAGAGTGCCTGTTGAAAGGATTACCATGCCTTTTCATTTATACTTTACATAAGCCTATTACCGCGAGGGGGCCCCTGAAAAGAACACACACACAAAAGTAAACAGCCAAAGAAATAAAATTTGAAATGAAATAGAACATAAGTATTTGCTTGAGAAAAAATCAAATCCCTTCCCGCAGTTAAATGTTACAAGACCCCCCCCCTCAAAAAACTACTGGCGACACCCATGCATATTTTTGGCCAATGTGTGTTGCCATTTCGGACCAAACCTCGATGTGAATATCATTCTAACATTAATATCTGCTATGATTTAGGAGATTTCAGCAGGCAAAAGAAAAATGAAGTTATGGTGAAAAGAAAATTAACACACTTTCTCATCAACTGGATTGAAATTCCCATATTTTTATGTCGA